ACCGAAGCCAAGGCTTATGGTGTGTTTATCAGCATCAAGCCAACAAGTGTGGGTTTGAAACTATTTCAGATTGTCTTTTGTGTTGTCAAGACGTGTCGAGTAAAATGTCAATAAAGTCAGGAGACGTTGTGAAATATTAGACATGAATTTTTTTTCCTTTGTATTATTTTTTAGTTTTTATCCCCTGGCTTTTAAACCAGAAAGGGGGATGTTGCGATAGCGTATTCCTTCTCTGCGTCCGTGTGTCGTACTGTCCGAACGGTTTGTGTTCCATTTTTGGTTAGGTTAACTGTTTAGTGCTGTCATATGAAAAGTCAGACTCCAATCTCAACCAAACTTGGTGACAATAATCTTTGGGTAGGGGGACTTCAGATGACCTGAGACGTTTGAGGTCAAAGGTCATCTAGTGGTCAAATGATGTCATTGTTGATTTATTACTTTAAGTTTATTGCTAATCCATGTTGCGAGTTATGACCCATTATTTGGTTAGGTACACTGAATAGTGTGCTTATTGACTGTATAAATACTACCAGCATGCCAGAGGGATCAATCGCGCAAGTTTAACTTGCAGTATTTTTTGTTACTTATGTCGAATGTCGGGTACATTTACCACCGATGCCAACCATTATAGAGCACTGATATGTTGGGTGTTTTTTTTTTTTTGCCATCTTCATTTCAGGTTGCATTTTGGATAAAATTAAAGGTCTTAAAAATAAATAGCAAAAACACTCAAATTCTGTATTACTCAAAATGGTATTTCGTTTTAATAACTGATATAATTTTGTTTTCAGATTATTCACAATATGCAAGGCACTATTCATCAAATTAACATTGGTAACAACAAAATTTCAAACATTCCCAGATGTGTCACAAATCTCTTTGGAGAAACTTGTAACAAAAACGTTACATATGTGAATAAAAGTAACTTGTAAAAAGAAAAGATATACGACAGACTAAAATACGACCAATATTTGAAAACTCTGCGTTTGTTAAACACTATTATTTTTAAAAAAGTCCGTTTCCACCGATTGGCTGAAATAAAGTTACATAACAGCACCATTATAGCAAAATATAGAAAAATTACATAAATAGCTCTACAAATTTGATATTAAAAGTTGAGAACTAGATTTAATATCTTCACAATTCTTTTTTTCATTTGTTTACATTTTCAGCACAGCAGTGAACAGTAAACATCTGTTCCTTTGATTTTTTTTTGTGCCAATTTTTTCTTTGAAATATGAGTTGATTTTTAACATATTGAGGCATGAAAGATGTTGCACGTTTCTTTCAAAATTTCTCGCAGAATGTGAAACATTCCCTGCAGCTGGAACCATTCAGCTTTAATATATATCCTTGGCATCAAATGAATTCATGCTAATTTATGCTAATTTATGCTAATTTACAGTGTTGTAGTCGAGTACTTTTCAACGAGTACGAGTACTTTGCCATGAGTACCAGTATGAGTACTTTGTCAAGAGTACGTGTACAAGTACTTTTCACAAGTAGGTGCAAATTTCAATGGGTCGCGTGCATTCAAGGGCTTTTGCTGTCAAACCAGGCATTAAACATAGGCAGAAGCCTCCCAAACAGTAGAAAACAGGTTCTTTTCCTACAATCATGGTGGTCCCCCAAAAAAATTCAGAGGCAGATTTCTCAAAATTAAAGAGACATGTTGAAATTGTTTTAAGATATTCTTAAACTACAAGATCTTGGTGGTATGGGCTCCTTGCGCAAGTACCACATCAACGGCCAGAGTAGGAGAGTTGGGGGAGACCTAGACTGGTTTCCGATCCATCCACTGCGTTATTCAAATGATATCCAAAGTTATTGGGGTCAGAGATTAGTCCGGGAGACCATTCCAATTACATTCGAACGTATTCAAAAGTATTCGTGCGCCTACGACGCCTGACACTCACGCGCAAAGACGCTGTGGCTTAGCTTTGTGCACATTCAGGAAATTAAAAAGTCGTGCATACTTCGAGCGCGAATTACAGTGCGCACATGCGGTGTCCCGTCCAAGGGGCGCTCAGAAATGGTAAAAGCGCACCCTCTTTTGTTGGCGCACGGAGCCCATATGGTGAAAATGGCGTTGAAAACATAGCTCAAAATAAGAAATAACTGCCATTTACAGAAAAATTGTTGAAAAAGAAGTTTGTCCACATCTATGGCAGTCATGTAGACCTAAATTACAATTATTGCAGTTCTTTGTGGGCGCAGTGCTATTCTGTTGACCATATCTCACAGACCCGCGTGTGGGTAAACTTCTTTTTGACCATCGTTCCTTAAACCATTGCCATTTCTTAATTTAGGCTATATTTTCAGCGCCATTTTCACCATATACCATAAAGATGCTGTAGTTTAGGAATATCTTGAAACAATTTTAACACGTCTCCCCAATTCCAAATCTGCGTCTGAAAAAGCGTAAATGGTTTTTTTTTTGGACCACGACCACCCTGTATAGCTCTTTTCAAAGCTGAGAACATTTGTACGAGTACGAGTTCTTTGTCATGAGTACAAGTACTACGACATTGCTAATTTATGCAATGTAGGTGTATTCTGCTCCCATCTGCGTTTATGACATCGTCCATTGCTCTTGATGGATATAATAAAAACTGAAATTAAATTAAAGTACACAATATAAGAAAGCAATGAATACATACTCTAAAAAATTAAAATACCAAAATAGCAAAATGAATACAGACTATTGTTTTCTTTCTGATAGCTATTACATGTGTACCACCCCATCTAAAAAATAAATAAATCTTGAGAATCGTCTGGCGTGCTTGCATTTAACTCGCACAGTGCAAAAAAATAGAATTTTACAGGTAGCTCAATTGACACTGATTAGAAGTGTGCAGAAATACAACAGCACGTTTCTTGTTCATTGAGCTTACAGGGGAGTTTCAACCCACATGTAAAAAAGGGGGAAAGATTTGATTTACACATTCCTGCAAAATTCTCCCAAACCTGGGCCCAATTTCATAACGCTGCTTAACAGTGAGCAGAAAAGATGAGCTTACCATAGCAGAAAATTGCAGGCTTTCAAGTATTCCTACTTTTCCCTATTTTTTGGTACTTTTTTCACACATTTTAAAAATTCATTCTTTGGAATGCCCAAATCACATGTAACTTGATTGACATCAAACTGAAATTTCGAAATTTGAGCAAAAAATGCAGAAATTTTAATTGTTAGCAAGGCTCAACCACACACTTCAAATACACATTTTTATGTCGGAATATATATGTCCGATAAAGCAATATATGCAAGTACTGTTTTTATTTATTTATTTTTAGAATTTTTTTAAGTCCATTTGCTACTGATCATTTCTGAAATGTATAAAAACCCTGGCACTAAGGTTGTCCTAGCCTATTATGTAACTTAATAAACGCTCCAAAAAAAGAAAGTCCACACTCATTGGAGGGGTCATAATTTTGAATCTGATCGTCTTATGATGACGTCATTTATATAGACATTTGGGGAATGTTGTTAGCTACATTTTGATACCCCGTTTGCTACCAAAGACTGTAAATGGTCCAACATTAACAACGGTTTATGAAAAATGATGCGGTTTGAAAACTTGCAAATTTAAAGAGTGCTCAAGTGGAAATTGCTGCCTGACAATGTTACATTGCCTGAAACAAACAGCAGAGAATACCGATCGCACAGTGCTTGCATGCATGGGAGCACGTGAATTGAACTACCCCCGCTTTGTTGGGGCACTGTGCAGTCTATCGAGGCAATTACGGATGTGTGTGTTTGTGATTAGCAGTTTCTCCTCGCGTAATCTTTAAATTTGCAACTTTTCAAACTGCATCAATTTTCATAAACCGTTGGCAATCTTGGACGATTTACAGTCTGTGGTAGCAAACGGGGTATCAAAATGTAGCCAACAAAATTCCCCAAAGGTCTAAGATAAATGACGTCATCATAAGATGATCAGATTCAAAATTATGACCCCTCCAATGAGTATGGACTTTCTTCTCTTTTTTTTGAGGTGTTTAGTTGACCAATTGAACTTCCACACTAAATAGCTATTTTCTTCCTACATCGAAAACACACGCGAGTAAGCCAAAATCTAGCTTTTTTTTCTGAAGTCAAGTTCCTTTGGCAAAAATCACAAGCTAAACTAATTTCAAATTAGTGCAGGCCCAGGAATAAAGGGATATAAAAGGTCAAAGGGAGGTCACGAAAGGTCAGAAGAGGTCAATACTATATTACAATCAATTTGTATTTATTGTTCTTACTTGAAGGAACAGTTCGGTTTTTTTTTCAAGCAATTCAATTATTTACGATCGGCTATAAATTAAGTGGTATTTCAGTGAGTTTTTTTCTTTTTATATATATCTCACCAGATATGAGAACCTACAGTTAGCATGACGGTTGTGCTATCAATAGACCGTTCTTTGCCAAACCGTGGTTTGGTACTTTTTGCCAACGAAGAATGCTCATCCCCCATGCCCACCCACTTGCCGACACGGTTTACGTCACTGTTTGTACATGTACAGGGTTCCTTACGGGGTAGAAAACACAACAGAATAGACCCCATAAGGAAGTCTTTAGAAATCAATCTACCCCATAAGGGAAATGCTATGGAGTTTGCGATTTCAATAGGAACAACGAAAAACAAATGAAAGGAAACAAAGGTCTTCCCCACAAGTATATGTGTGTAGGGGTGTATGTGAGTTTGTTTCTGCATTCAATAGGGGACGTTGAACAATAGAGGACAATAGAGTCTACAATTCCTGAAGGTCCACAGTTGACGATCGTGTACAAAACATATGGAAGGTCTTCCTATAAAGTTAAAGTACAAACGAAAGAGGGACAATAGGGGGTCCACGACTGAAAGTGTTTACACACACTGTGTGTGTGCACGCCTACACCGTCTTATGGGGAAGTTTTTTATTGTTAGACAAATTAGGACCAAGTTATGGGGACTTTCTGCTGTCCCCACAAATACCTTGTAGCGACGAGTGTATGTCCCCACAACTACAGAACAAGTATGTATGTCTGCGTGGGTTGGGAGGGGGGGGGGAGATGGGGGTTGCAGCTAGGCCAAGGCAGGGGTTAAGGCAGGGGTTTGGGCAGGGGGAGAAAGGGCTTCTGGTTATAACTCTTTATCTGCAAATTCAAACATCCCTTTATGTCCAAAAAAGGACATTACTAAGATCTACAAGACGATTCCTGTCACGCTTACCAGGAACATCTACATTCTGCTGAGCAGAAACCTACTCCCTGCTTAGTCGGTGACGTGGGCTAGAGTTGTCCCCAGTCCTAGATGCCCCGGCGATGCACCTTCATCTTGAGCACTGTGAACTTCTCTTTGGTAAGGAGCTTGATGGCGTGGCTGTGGGTGGACATGGTCAAGTCTAGGCCGTTGACCTGGATGCAACAAAACAAGTCAAACCAAAGTTGAAGCAAAACTTGGACAGTTCACATAATTCACATCAAAAGCAATGTCGGAATAAAATGCTAAGAAATACTGAAGATCGTGCCATCTTCAGCTCAGCCACTTACCCAAAAGTAACAAAAGTCCCTAATGAAAAAGTTGCCTTCGGGTACTTCCAGCGTTATGAAAGTACAAATGTAAGTGTAATGTCCGTGACAGAGCCAATTAACCATGATATCTAATGAATGATTCAGAGAAATGATCCAAAACTCCTAGTCTGTAATCTTTTGACCATTACTAGATGATGGATGTATAAGACCAAAAACAAATATTTCAGGTTTATTCACTGAGCTCTTAAAAACTCTGTCACAAACATTACATGATGCTAGAATTGCCCATTTTTTTACTCTTTCGTAAAATACCAAAAACCTCTGAAATCAAGCCATCTAAAAATCCATCCTTTGCATGAACCGTTCCAAAAAGGTGTACGTTCTTTCAGAAAAACGAAACAATTCACACACATCCTTATGTGATTTGTTTTCGTTTTGCTGAAAGAACACTGAACTTTTTTGCAATCCGTGGACAGAACCTTAAAACGGTGGTTGTGTTTAAAATTCTGTAACCTGAAAGGTACATGAGTGATTTGAATGATTCTTGTACTAAAAGAAAGCTTATGAGTTGGGCTTTCATATCCTAGATTTTGAAAATGCTACATGCAGAACTTCCCTAAAACAATGGTCCCGACATTTGGGTTTCTTTTTTTTTAATCGCCCTGTATTTTGCTTCCTGGACACTGAGGAAGCACCCAAAGCATGCGTGCAATTTTTGCCAGGCCCAGTTGATCTATTTTCATTTTTTTTGCGTGCCATTACATACTGAAAAACACTGCAAAAATTTTGAAAAGCTGGACATATTCTCCTTTTTTGTGACCTTCCAGTTGCATGTAAAGTTGGGGGCACAGGGAAATTCTTCTTAAGCTCAACTCATGATTGTTACCTCCAGAATCTTGTCCCCTACGACCAATCCCGACAATTCCGCTGGAGTTCCGGGCCTCACGACGCTCACAAAGATTCCCTGTACAACACAAAAATAACACAACACTTTTAAGCTCTGGAAGGAGTTTCTATATGTCACTTGGTGGTTGGTCGGTCGGTCGGTCTGTCCCTGGAAAATTGACTAAAAGTATGATGTTCCATTTGTGGCATCGGTGTCACATTTTTCGGCGTCACATATTTCAGCTCTGGCAGGGATCCTTTTGATTGATTTCATGAAAGACTTCTTGAAACACGGCCAGAGCTTATTGTGCACGTGCACTTGTGTTTTTGCCATGAGTTGTACCTACTTGTAAAATGTGAGGATATATGAAGCTAAAGTGGTGAGAGGTTGACCACGCTGGGGTGCCCATAATACTTAACTCGTATTATTTGTAGCTCAGTGTGCCTCGGGGAAATATCAATTGTAATGATTGAAAAACTGAATTCTACTATCATAACGGATCATAATGGTCAAATCATAAAAAGTCAATCCTGTTCCCTGCCATGCCTTTATACCATGACAAAGGCTAGTCACCAACAGTCGGATCATTATTTCCAGCTTAAAATGTGACAAGTCAAATTCCATTTACAGACAAAAGCAGGTGACTGGTAGACACAGCTGGCTTCAGGCATGCAACTTTTCCTTTTTTACTTCACATGGTGCCATTGAAAATAGAAAAACACTGTACAAAGTCTGGAAAAAATTTGAATTTCCTCTTTTTCTGTGATTTCCCAGTTGCATGCCTGTGGCTTATCAATCACCCACAGTCAAAGCAGAGCAGTAGAAAGTTACATAAACAGTCACAGCCAGTCAATCCTGCAAAGTTCTTTTAAAAGTCACTTGATGATTTTGACTGCTGGGATGGTATTTTTTATTTACCTTTTTTATTTTGCTAGCTAGAGAAGAATGATCAAGGAAAAAATTCCATGCTTGGCCAATACTCAGAGCTCCTGAACAAAGTCTATGGGCCATGACAGAACATTTTAAAGTAATATCAAAGAATTTTTGCACTCCTTAATCAGTGTTTCTTCATCAGATTTACAACTTTTGGTACTTTTCAGGGCATATTAAGGAAAATGAGTGGTGGCCCAGTATGGAATTTTTCCCATGATCAATTTCAAGCCTGTTTGTTTCCGGCATTCTCACCTCATCGCCTGGGATGAAAGGGTTTTTACTTTTGTCCTGATCTATCCCTCCAGCGATGCTAAAACCCAGGCCGGTCCCAGGAATCTTCTTTAATATGATGTCAATCTAAAAGTTCAAGAAAGGAAAAACTGGTTTGAAAATGATCACCAAATTTAGAGTAAGTTTTATAGACATAGACACAGTCTAGTTTAATAGATCACTTCCAGTTCTAATCATTTAATTTGAGATGGAAACGGACTTGTCCATGCAAATTTTAGTTTAAGAAAGCTAAATACAGTAGTTTGCATCCCATGGGCCTTTAGCGTTGTTTATTTATATTAGTTGTACATTACAATATAATTCAAATGACAATTTGACAACTTGACAATCTGATGAACAGAAATGCAACAAATCCAACAGAATTTTGGGAAAAATTCGGCTACCCGATCACCACTTTTTTCAATTAATTTTCTAGCGCCAAAAGTTACATCTTTTATGGTTATTCCCTCCACTTTCCCTCCTCTACTCTCACCCTCTCCTTTCCTTAATTTCTATTTATCAATCAGTCAATTACTTCATCGAGATTCGAACCTCGGACTCTTGCTTGATACACGAGACTCTTAACCGCTAGGCCGCACACAATCGCTGTTGCAATGATCAATCTTTGGACGTATTTGAAGTATCCATTGAAATAAACTAAATATTCATGAGAAAAAAAATATTCATAGTGACGTATTGCACTATCATTGGCCGGCTCATGCGACGTCTGATGCGACGTCATGGTTATCGATGTCATGCGTATAATGTACACTGTTCCAGACACTTCAATCAGTTTTGACCGGCTGCTTCAACTCAGATCTGCACTACATGTGCATGCAAAATGTCTCTAAAAACACATTTTTACTAATTTTTTTTTCGCATGTCCGCTGTTTCCTGGATTCCTCTTGGTTGAAATCACAAGGTGAGGTGAAAATTTGGATGTTTGGCGGCAGGTAAGTGGTGATCGGGTAGCCGAATTTTCCCGAATTTTGTCCACAGATGAGAGAGCACATCTTTCAACAAAATAATTAAAGCATTGAAATTTATCCCATGCGTAACGTTAAAATACTATAATTTAACATGTTAACGGTAAGATGAACGTTACAGCGTTAGGCCAGTTTTCTCTTTTTTACATTTTTTTTTTTTAATTGTCAGTTTTACTTTTAAAAGGAAAAAAATTCAGTTTTTGCAGAGCATTCCAAATTGGCGATGAATTTCCCTTATCATAAAGATCCATGGGGGAAAACAAGAAACTTTTGGAAAATGTAAAGACATGTTTGCCTGCCAAATTATAAAAGTGGCACACAGTAAAACAGAAGAGCGCCCTCTCGATTTCAAAACTCAAAACATCAACACTCAACAGGAAAATGACATTGACAGTTCCCAGCTCAAGCCATGCAAGCTTGGGACCTCTATTTATGAATAAATCCAATTTCAAAAATCCCCTCTAACATCCAGTAATGATGCATAGAAAGTCTTTGATTATTTCCCAATTTAATTTTGAGGTAAGTCATTCGGAATTGCTAAAAAAAAAATGATTAGTATAGTAACTTACACATGGGATTCCGCCCATCCCCTGCGTCGCCATTTTGGTGATTGATCACAGTGGCTGTTGAATTACCACAGGGACGATTATATTTGATTTATCGGGTTTGTGTATGTCGGAAGGCCTGGGTAATTCTCTCTTTAAACAAAATTGAGTTAAACGTTTATCTGAGTGTTTGAAATTCTTGTATTGTGATCAAACCTGTATTCTATTTATTCATTTACTTTTGAATGAAAAGTTCATGTTGGGAAAGTAATTGCAATTTACTCGCAGTCTGGTGAACCGCTGTGAGAATATTCTCTGTTCGTGTAACACGCAAACTTACAGAGACAAGACTTCCTAAGCCATATGGTTTTTAGCTGGTTTCGTTCTTGTATTTGTCATTGATTTCCTTTAAGTTGAACCAGCGTAATACCAGTCAAAACACATATGCACACGAAAGCAAAACCGGAAGAATCTATCGTGCCCAAGTTTACACCATCTGCTGTCAAAATTCTAATATTTTTTTCAACTAAATCTCATCCGATGTTACCCATAACCAACAAAGATGAAGAGTATGTACCGGGATTCTCTATCAAAGAGAAGATTTCCTCGTGGTGGAGGTAAATAAATCGTTGCCAAGATTATTTTTAAGTTGGTCAGCTCAGCCTCCGCTGTTCATCATGCATGTTCATGATGATGAGCGGCAGACGGGCAGTGCAATGCCAATGTATGGACACTTTGCTTATGTGTTTAATGTTTAATGTATCTCTGATAATGATATGTATGATAATAGAGGTTTAAATCAAATTCGATAAATGACTAAACTTAACCCTGAAGCACTTCGGTAGTTCGATAGGATAGACGCTTTTATACCCCTTACCGCAATTATCACTGGCATTTTATCTGTTTCTATTTTTTTTATTTGAACCTTTTTTGTTTTTAAAAAACGCATCAACTGATGATCAAGTTCAAGTTTTTATTTGTCCAATTTCTTGGCGTTATATTGTAAGTGTAATATTTTAATGTAGTATTTTCTGTCCAGTGTAATATTTTTGTCCATGTTACCTGTATTTGTGCCTTTTCTAATTTTCATGTTTATTTTTTTTTTAAACTGTGTGTTTAATTTTAATGTGAGGGCTCCTTTGGAAAGCAGTTTTTTTAGCTGAAATGGAGTACCCTCGTTACAGATTACAATAAAATAAGGAGTAATTGCAGAATACCCTGCTACTCGAAGATCACCTCCTAAAATTCAATGGCTGTGCAGTTGCCGGAGCTAGACCAAAGTTTAAGTCCAAAGTAGTTCCCCCGGAGTGGCTACGCAGGTACAGGGGTACGGAATGGGATTGGGTTAGGGAGGGAGGGGCAAAAGGGGGCGCTTCTGTAGTTTTCCTTTTTCTTTTTTTAAATCCTCCAAGGGATGAATCAGTATTAATACTGTGTAAATTGAATGGGGAAGATGAAAAAAGTCTAAATCCAAAGTAGGTCCACCCACTCCGCGGATATGGGGATATATGGAATGGGAAGTGCAGGCGTCTTGTGGGTGAGCAGTCAAGCGTGACCCCGTATCCCATATCCGCGTAGCCGGCTACGAGGTGGGATAGATGAGTGGCGGGGTATTCACTCAAGCGATTTTGCACAATTTGTACTTTTTGCTTGGCATGCTTAGCCCCACTATAAACGTTAGTCAATGTGGCCTGGATATCAAAGTGTAGCTCGTCTTCCTTTTATTAGAAGTATTGTATCATATTACTTTTTCTTTTTGTTTTAAAAGTACAATTCGTCTTTTGCTGATTCATGGCCCAGAAGGATTTTTTTTTTTGGAAAGGAAAGTGAGATATTAGTTATAGGTTACAGTTGATTGAACAGAATAAGTTGAAACTTTAGGCCATATAATCTTTGGAAATTTAGAAAACTATTCTCATTGAGAAGTAAACCCAGGACCCTCAAAACGAGAATCTGCAGTACTGAGCTACCGAAACCGCTTCCGTCTGTCAAAGGATATGAAATCTCATTTGGATTCGCAAAACAAGCAAAAAATCCTCCATTTTGCAAAGAGGATTTGGGAGGATTTGGGAGGATTTGGGAATAGGGAACTTAATAGAAAAATTTAAAAAATGCACCAAGCAAGGATGTCTGTACACCCAGACTAAATTTCAATCTGTCATTACCGTCAAGATCTTAGGGCAAACCTCCCCCTCCCCTTCCTTCCCCACCCCCTTCCCCCACCCCCTTCTATCACCCCCTTCCATCCCCCACCCAATGAAAGTTTTAAAATGGCTCATTCACATCAACATATTTTTTTACCGTTATTAATTCCTCGTATCAAATTGCAGGGCTATCTTCTCCGACCCAACATCTAGAAATCTGTTCATGTTTCTACTCCTGAATCTGTCCTTTGCCTTTGTGGAATTATCGTATGGTGTCTGGACAAATAGGTGAGTGGAACAGCTTTTTTTTTCCTGACGATTTTTTTTAAATTTATGTATTTTCTTCTATTAATTTATAAATCTTTTCAGTCAATTAGAGACAAAAGTTCTTAATCTGTTGTCATGTTATTGTAAATTGTATTAGTTGAATCTTCATTGTTACCAATTATGAATTCATTCTCAAATTTATTCATTTTCTTTGTTTTTATTGATCTGTATAGTTGCCGTTTTTTTTGGTTGGAGGGGGATTAAATTAACATACGAAACACACTATTTGTGTAATATGTGGAAAACTTGACATACTCACACTGGCCAAAGGCGTTGTTATAATTAAGAGGATCTACAAGTGGAATATTTCATATCGTACATTTCAAATTACATTTGTGTGTCTGAGAAAAGCAAAATCTTAAATGGGGATTTGTCTATTTTGAATCTTACAAAGTAGGTATCGGGAATACAGGGCCCAAAACATTTCATAATTTGTAAACACTTTTCACCAAAAAAGTCAAAATATATATAAAGTCCTCAAAAATTAGATACCTTTGATATATATAGGGTGGCCCAAAGAACAAAACAAAAACAGAACAGCATACTTCCACTACCTTGAGACTCAAACCACCTGTACCAATGGATGGAGAATCTTTTCAGAAGAAATATGATACCAAGATCTTCCGATTCGGTCCAGTAATTTTTGCGGCAGAGCCTTTTTTGTGAAGCACACCTCTTTCAAAGGGTACTATTACATAACAATTAATCCCTCTATCCAACTAAGTCAAATTCGTGGGCGCAGTTTACTATTTAATTCATCGAGACAAAATAACTCCCGACTATGTTTCACAAAACAGGCTCTAGAACAAAATCTACTGGACTGAATCGGGCGATCTTGGCCCATGTATTGCCAATTGGTATGATTTAGTCTCTGATTGAAGCATGCCGTTCCATTTTCGGAAGCCACCCTGTAGGTTTTGCCCTTCACTGGGCAATGTGCTGGGGGAAAAAAATCAAATTTCATCTTAAATGAAACCTTGAAAATTAAAAAAGTTTTTCAGACTACCGGTAGGGCCCCACCAGTAATGCTAGGTTCACACATTCCCGAATTATTGCGTCGAATACCCCAATCTATCCCGAATAAAAATTCTTATTGGCATTGGGACAAATTAACTCTGATTCGCTGATTGTAAGAATAACTTAAGAATGAAACAAAAATAATCAAGAACTAGGTACAAATTGGAAGCCGAATCAAGCCAAACGATTGCAATTTAGTGCAGAATAATACCAAATTGTAGTGATTTTGTCAAGAATAATATACAAATAACTCTAGAATCGTCTAGAATTACGCCGATTTAGTGTAAGTTTTTTCGTAAGTTATTCTTATAATATTCGCACATTTCTTGTAAGAATGCTGTGAGAATATCCAGAATACTGTAAAAATATCCATAATTAGTTATGAATACAACAAGAATAAACCAAGAATTGAAAGTGGTTCCCGAATCACCTCGATAATTTCGAACATGTCCAAAAATTGTCGCGGCGCTTCCCGATCTTTAATGATCTTTCACCAAACTAACAGAATCATCCCGAGGCAGCCAAGAACCATTCCCCGATTTACTCAAGAATTGCTATTCAGGGTGATTCGGCTTCAAAATCGGGAATGTGTCCAAGCATAAATCACATTGCAAGGAGCATTGTACACGTATGCTTAATTGAATTGTTGCGCATCATTAGTGCCAAGGCACTGTCTGTGTCTAGGTTATTAAAATATGCACTCAGGCAAAACAGCTGTTATAGTTGTGTATTTGACAACGGGTACCAATGCAATCAGAGTGAATGTTTCCAAGGGAATATAGATTTTATTTTGCCAGACCGCATAACACATATGGAATAATAGTCAAATGTACATACGGTTAGGTTTATGCATTAATAGTTTTTGTTGCTCTATTCTAAAAAATAAGTAATCCTCATACAGTAGATGTACAACAAATACCGCAAATTTACATGAAGTGAATCTCTCTGAATTTTTGTTTAAAAAGAATTGTGTCCTTCAAAAGAAGTTATAAATTATTGACTGTGTACTTACGTTGTGCACAGATTTGTTTAAAAAACAAAAGTACTCATATTAGGGAAATTTACTGCAAAGTTTTTTGAGAGAAATCCAAACAGAGTGCAGGTTTCTTTCGGAAATAGGCCTACATGTACATGTAGGAAGCACAATGAGAAAAATCTTCTTGATTTTTTTCCCCAAACGTCTTCTGAAATTGCACCTTTTTTTTTGCGAAATAATATTATTATTAAATTTCACTCTTCACACCATGTTTAAGGCCATAAAAAAAAACATGTGTAGCATCCTGCCTTTTTGAAAAAAAAAGGAAGCAGGAGGCCACCCTTTTTTTTTTCCCCTCCAAAATGGCCGCCCGACCGGGCTATTTTTCAAGATGGCCGCCAGGTGTTTTTTTTTAAATTGCCGCCATTGGACTTGAGGAAATGACATATCAGCTTTATATGGGCTAGATGCAACAGACAAAGAGCCCAAATTATGTCACTGTTTAAAATTTATCAATTTTTTGGTTTAAAAAAAAGAAAAAGAGGCAGCCTCCAAAAAGGAAGCGGGCAGGGACGCTTAACATGTTTTGTTGTTTTTAATTTGGCCTAATAATCAAGTGTCTTTCTTTTTTTCATTTGTTCCAGTCTTGGTCTGATTTCAGACTCCTTCCATATGTTCTTTGATTGCACGGCACTGCTAGCCGGTCTGACAGCTGCTGTAATATCTAAATGGAGGGCCACACCCACATTTTCATATGGGTAAGATTGCACAAGATATTGTTGATTTTTCCAAATCACAAATTAATTTTATTGTTGTTAGATATTCGTTTACCCTCCATTTGTTTGATCAGTCACAGACAGTCAAAAATTGCTATTGGTCGAGAGCCTGTCACATGGGTGGTTTGAAACTGCCGGTAAAACACCGCAGCATTCTGCGCCACAGTTTTTCGAACTACGCGCGCGAGGCCCATAAACGTGGCCAAAGGGGTGTTTCACAAAACCAGAAGTAAAATTAATGAACAAAATCATTGGAATTTTGTCAATTGTTTACTCAGTTTGACTGTTTGACCGAAAATGTATGGGAATAAATATGTGCTTGGCCGGTTTTAAACAAGTACACCGGCTATTGGCCTGGTCACAGATAGTATTTTGCTGGCTTTTGGCTTAGGGATTATCACATCTAGGCCCCTAGCTGGTTTTACCACCAAGCACATGTCATTTAATAATGATAATAAATAATATCGGAGTCTTATATAGCGTACGTATCTACCAACAAGTAGGTACTCAAGGCGCTGGAAATTATGTCTATTAACCCTTACTCTCTGAGGGTAGTTTACTGCATGTCAGTTGGTTATGCCAATGCCCTCCAGCTGCAGTTATTTGGCAGATAACAAGTCTTAGCAGTGAAGGCTCCAATTGGCAGGAGTTGGAGGCCCTGGAGGGTGCCTGATACTGACCAGCTGGGGGCACTCACTTTGTTATCAGAGGACTCTCATTGTTCTCTGTGGCATGTATTGGAGTGCCTGTCCAGTTACCCTTGAAATGACATGGCAGATATTGGAGGGCCATGCAAAAAACATAGGAGATTTTCTTGAGGCACACATTGGCATGCGTTGGAGGGTCTAGTAGGGTAAGGGTTAATAAAGAAAGATAAATAATGTTTATGAGAAATATGAGACCCATTATGCAGCACCTTATATGGGTTTACCAGGTGCTGCGGTGCATATTGCAGCCAGAAATATACTGCCAGAAACACCGGGGCAAATCCCTTCTCTATAGTGATAAGTGTTACTGGGTTCTTTAACACAAGACACGGGACCTACGGCTTTACGTCCCATCCGAAGGACGAAGCAATAATGGTAAAGTGCCTTGCTCAAGAGCACAAGCACCATGTTCCCACGGTCAGGATTCGAACCCATGTACCACGGCACATGAGGCGAACACCGTAACCATTGGACCATTATTATAGCACCCCACTAATCTGTAGGTACTTTTCTGTAGGTACTTTTCCTGGTTTCTGTACCTGTACTTTTCCTGGTTCATGTAATTACAAATAATCCTACATGGCTTTAACAACACTGTGACATTGTTTGAGAATTAGGCTGTATTTCTTCCAAATCATAAACTTTTGGATGCATATACTGGTAGATCAGGAATATTTAATTGATAAGCATGTCATCTTTGTATCCATTTGTTTCAGGTATGTCCGAGCTGAAATTCTTGCAGGTTTCATCAACGCACTATTTTTACTCTTTATCGCTTTCTTCATCTTCTCTGAGGCAGTTGAGGTAAAAAAAACTCTCTGAATAAAAAATTGTCTGATTTTAAGTCTCGTTGTGAGACCAAATGAAAAAAAAAAAGACCAATTTCTTGTCCCTGCCCACTTCTTTTTTGTTTGTTTTGTTTTTAATCATACATTTGTAATGTATTTTGTCTTTTTACTTGTTTGCAGCAAAATTTATCTTTGTATGCAAGTTCAAAATCTGGTAGAAAGGGTGACGGCTCCTTTGGACACAAAATTATCAGCAAAAGGGTCGAGAAATTGGATGAATCCATCCGCAATCTTGGGGGAAGGGAGCCTCCTTCCTTTTTTCAAAAAGAAATTTTTTTTTTTTCAAAAAGAAGAAATTATTTTTTTTACTTGGCCTTTACATAATTGATGTCACTAAACCTTTTTTTTTAAAGATATTTCCCATGAATTTTAGTATCAATGAAATTTTTAAATATGAGTTTTTGTTGCGTATTGCTATTACAATGTTTACTGTTGCACCATGTCATTGAAGTTTTAACCTGTCACAATTGTCACGGCCATTGTGGCCTTAATTGTTGGCATTGTAATAACATTCTAACAATTGTCACAAATGTCATTGCCATTTTCATCTCCAACTTGTCAGTCTCTTTTGCACATTATCTTCCCTCCCAGCGATCTCTGTCATTGCTTCTGTCCAATTGTGACTATCATTGCCATGACAAAAATCCTTTCGAGTGATTATTATGATCATTTCCTTGTTTGTTTTCCAGAGATTTTTGGAGCCTCCCGAAGTGCGACACGAGAGACTGTTTATCGTTTCAGTTCTCGGATTGCTTGTAAATTTAGTTGGTATCTTTGCATTCCAACATGGCCACGGACATTCCCACGGTGGTAAGTCTTAGTGAACATGTGCCACATTTTATTTCATCAAACTCACTAATTCCCCCTTGTTTTGAATTGGCCATAACTCAATAAATATGTGGCTGATTGAAAAGATGTTGTTGTTGTTGAGAAGCTAATGAACTATACCCTCCAAATATGCATTGATTTTTACATTTTATTTTTTTTAAGCTGCGAAAAAGAGGGAGCTTTGAGGATTCAGGTTTTTTTTGGGACACCCTGTTTTTTTTTACACAGCACAAACTTTTGCATGATATAAATGCCTTAACCCTAACTCCCTAGCGTCTTTTACTAGGAACTGGACCAAGTCCATCAAAATCCATCAATCACTGTGCGTCCAATACAAAACTGTACATGACATAATGGAATCCACCACTGACGCACTGGTTGACATTCATGGACTTGCTACACATGGCTTTTATCGCAATAGCAGTACAGGAAGCTAGGCAAAATCAATCGGATACCCCAAATACTGCTTCAGGCCATTAGGCCCAAGTCCATCATACTCCATCAATATTTAGTCAAGCCAGGCCTTCTGGACCAAGTCCCCCAAAATCCACCAAAATGGGGGGCTGGATTTTGATGGAGTTGGGGTGGTTAGGGTTAGGGTTTGGGTCTCTCCTTCACAGTCATGAGAGTTCCAAATTTTCGGACTACTTTAATCTTTCGCTAATACCTTCCGATGAATTTTTGAGGCTCTTGAAAAGTTGGTTTTATGATTTGTAGTTCATTTATGGTTTTCATTTATATTTTGTTATGCTTCATTTATAGGCAGTTCAGCCAACGGTAGCGTAGGACATGGTCATGGACACAGTCACGGACACGGTCACGCACACAGTCTGGGTAAGCTTGAAATTTTTGAAGTCCTTCTTCATACCTGCCAAATGTTTTGAAAAATGTGGAATTATTACAGATTTATGAAATATATTACCAAAATTCAAGTGCTATGGATAAGGTATAACAAAATTTATCAGACATTTTGATAACTGCATGATTAGGCCCCCCAAAAAAGTCTTCGGTTTCTGGCATGGAGCTTGCCCCAAAAGTGGTGCGGCAAAGTGGTTTTTTTTTTTTTTTTTACTCGTTTTTTCTTCAAATGTCGGCTGATGACTGCAAATGGTGCCTAACTAAATTTAGTGCAAAATGTATGGGAACCCGGAGAGGCCACAAACAGCTTATACTTGATCGCAACCCCATCTAAAAACACGATAAAATTGTGCAGCAGCAGGATTCCAGTCAAACCAGTGAGTTTGGCGGTTTTGAGACATCATCTTACATTGAAATTTTTTTTTTTTAAATTTTGCCGACGCGCATGCCTACGGCGACGCGCGCGCAGACCAGAAACTGGATTTTTTTTTTTTTTTGGCCTCTTTATCTGAAGTGCCAACAGTGAAATTGTGATAAGTCAAACTTGGATGACTCAAACTCTGTTTATCTCGAAGTGAAACTTCATTTCCATCAAGGGATTAGGGTATTATGTACATGACTACCCCAGTAACTCAAAATGCCTGCACCAGTACCTCAGTTTAACTCAAAATATTGTTTTGCCAGTCCATAAGAAACCGTAGCCTAAACAGTCACAAAGAAGTGTAAAAAGATCACGAACCTTTTTTTCATGTGCCACAATTGCTGAACGCACTTTATCTTTTTCACATGATCATGCAACAATGCCATTGTGATTGGACTCCAGCCCATAACCGCAACAAATCTTGACCTTCCAGTTAGCCTGATCGCTACTGCTGCCCAATTACAGCCAACACGCAGGCGGTCCAATCATTGGCTCTTTGCGGTGGCCATGTGACTGCATTGGAAACACGCGCCTGGCTTTCGAGTTAGCCTGATCGGTACCGCTGGCCAAGCTAGCTGCAGCTTGCACGATAGCATGCCCTCTATCTATCAAAAAGGAACGGTCATGTAACCACACATCAGAAAACCCCGCGAGTGTGATGCGATGCGTCGTGCGATCGCTAGACTAGACTAGACATCGACAAACGACACGAAGTAAAGATTTGCTACACGAAGTTACACAATTTGAGTGGGTTATTGTTATATTTATCCATAGAGCAGACACTTTTAGGTAAGCAAAATATAAAATCTGAGCAAAATGATGATTTTTGATTGAAAAAATACATAATTAAAATCAAAGAACGTGTCCATTTCATAGCCAGGCATAGCGAGTTAAGGTGAAAGTACATGCATATGAACGTGAATCAAATTAGGTTTTGCCCTTCACCAACGTATAAACACTGTATACTCAGTGTGTTACCTCCCGAGTGAAAGTTGGAAAAAATCACTCGGATGGGACTCGAAGCCACAACCTCCTGCTTTCTAGTGCAGATCGTAGAAAAATTGGGAATTTGCTTAGCTCGAACTTTGGATATGCCTTGAGATTTGACTTATCGAGATTTCTCCACATTTTGTATTTCAGGGATGGGGTATAAAGATGATGGGGAACACCAGCACACCCCAGCAGGATCACAGAAGGAAATCATGCAGGGTAAGTCAGCTAGCTTTCCTCAAATTCCGAAAAGGAAAAACTGACTAGGTGCATTTTCTTAATTATAACTTAACCAAAGAAATTTGCTGGAGCGGGGTTGAACCTGTGACGTGCTGAGGTCGGTGATTGACTCAATAATAATTCTTACATTTTGTGCAACTTAAAAAACTTGAAAAGGGTAACCATCCTGTCTCTTAACCCTAACCGCCCTGAATCCTTCAAAATCCTCTTTGCCAAAGTAGAGGAATTTGGAGGATTGACGTTACTTAATAGCAAAGTGTGTTACTGGTTTCGTAGGATGCACTTTGTCAAGGTCTTGGGCCGGACCTGGTGTTGCTTTTGCTCAGCCATGCATAAATATAGGCCTGGATTATGCTTGAAATCATCCGTACTGCTCCAGGATGTCACTGGCCAAGCCTCAACATATTGACAGTCACTGCCACAGTATTTTGCAGGATTCAGGCAGTGGTCACCCCTCCACTGACCATATTGAGGAAATAATGGGAGAATTTGCAAAATTGAGGCTATATGTTATTTTTCCATGAGGCCAATCGGAGGATTTTGCAGGATTGAGGCTACATCCCAGCAAAAAGGCCCCTGAGGGAGTTAGGGTTGATAGTCTAATTCACAGGAATTTTGAACAGATCTGAAATAATATCGATTTGGGTTTGTTTTTACAGGAGTCTTTCTTCACATCATGGCCGACACTCTAGGTAGCGTCGGCGTGATAATTTCTGCGGTGCTAATGCAGTATTTTGGGTGGCTGGTTGTCGACTCCATCTGCTCCATGTTTATAGCTCTACTCATTATGCTCAGGTGAGTGATGAAAAAGGCTAGTCTTGGTCCAAAATTTAATTTGGATTTTCCCTACCTTAAAGGTAGGGTAAATATCATTTGTCACACAAACGTGTTCCAAATCTAAAGAATGATGCTAAACAACTAACCTGATGAAGTTCTAGCTCAGTGAATGCTGTAAATTCCGAGGAAACAATATTCTAGAATCTCGTTTTCAATTCAAAAGTTGCAGTATCTTGTTTTGAATTGCGCCCGAAATCAGCGTCTGGGACATGTTCTCATAAAGGAGATGGCAGCTACACGATGTCACGCACTGAATTGAAAAATTATTGTGCGTCATGTCCGCTTGCGCACACTCAAAAACAAACTACTAACGGAAAATTTCCAAAAATGCGTCTTTAGATGCAATGTGCGGATCCAAGAATTTTTGCACGAGTGGGGGGGGGGGGGGGGTTCATCAGCAAATCAGTGCTGAAATGTAGACAGGTTTTTTTCTCTGGACACTTGGCCTCAATAAAGGGGGGGGGAGGGTGGACAGCTTGTACCATACTTTCAATGGCCCCAAAATTTAGTTAGTCCACATCTTGTTTGCAATGGGTTACACATCCATGAACTGGTGCAAGACTGGTTCCCTGACTGGGCAATTTCTAGACGTCTATAAATTGTTCCGTTTGGCCTGAAGTAGGGTCAGGGAACCAGACTACAAGAACACCATTTTTTTTTCTTGGTTTTCCAGCATCTATGAACACAAAATTTAAACAGGTCGGTGTAACAATATTTGCTATAAAACACTAACCCCCAAATCCATCTGAAAATTACAGCAAGTTGTATATGACCTTTAAGGGGGAATTTCTTTCGTGATTTTATACATTTCCACCTTTATACACAGCAACTTTCAACAGCGACTGGTAACACATCCATGTTTTTTGTCCATTTCTTAGTGTCTTGCCATTACTACGTGATTCTTCTTCTATTTTGATGATGCGTGTTCCCTACGCCCTTGATAAGGAACTGCCTGGATGCTACAACAGGGTAGGTGTGGAATAAAACTACATGTATCACCAAACTGTAACCCTCTAAAGCCCAGTTCATACTCGGCGCGAACGCGAATTTGTGACGTCATGGCAAGTATTCGCTCTGCGAATTCGTAAAAGTTGAACACATTTCAACTCAGGCGAATTTCGCAGCGAATGTTTCATGACGTCAAATTTGCTTCGCATTTGCTTTCGCATGAAGTATGAACCAGGCTTTAGTGAGAAGTCAATATATTCACGGTTGGAGCTACGAATATCCACGGTTTACCAAGAATCAGTCGATCACGATGAACCGTCGAGGTTCGTGGAGAAATCGACTTTCTAAAAATGCACTACGGTTTCAGGACGGATAGCCACGACTGTCATACGGTTTCTCTACGAATACACCACGGTTTGTCAAGAATATAGACAGATTGGTGAAGAATATCGACGGTAATACTAAAAGAAATGACGTTAACGCCACGGTTGTCTGCGATTGGGTCACGGATGACCAAGGTCTCCTACGAATAAAGCGTGGATATTTGTATTAGCAGAACCCTAGCACATCCAGGCATATCCGTAGGACATTCGTAGTGAATTAGTAGAGATTTCTAGCACGAGCTACGAATCTCCAAGAATATGCACGAATAGCCACCAATAACACTACGAATAAGTACGGTTGTCCTACGGATGTCCCACGGTTGCACTAAGGATTAATTTTCATGACGGTTCACCAAGGAAGTTATGAACAGTTTCAAACTTCTGTAGCCCCTCCACGAATACCCAAGGTGTGTCAAGAATATAGATGGATTGGTGAAGAATATCGACGGTTATACTAAAAATAATGACATTAACGCCACGGTTGTCTGTGATTGGGTCAAGGATGACCAAGGTTCATCCGGGCATTCATAGTGAATTCGTAGAGATTTCTACCACGAATGAGCTACGAATCTCCAAGAATATGCACAAATAGCCACGAATAACACTACGAATAAGTACGGTTGTCCTATGGATTAATTTTCATGACACTTCACCAAGGAAGTTATGAACAGTTTTCAAACTTCCGTAGCCCCTCCACGAATACCCAAGGAAGATGACGGATAACCACGGAGGTACTAAGGATGAATACGGTACTCCCACGGTTGATTACGAATTTCAAACTGTGGAGATCCATAGCTCCAAACCATGAATGTGTGACTGGGTCTTAGTGAGAAGTCAATTTATTCAGAGCAATACGTAAAACCCTTTAAAAACCCTGCAGGTCAGTTTCAATTGAAGGGATATGAAGTTCAATTTAAAGTACAGTAAACTCCTGTTAAGTCAAATCTCAATGGAATGGATAACAAATTTGATGTTTAGTTATTAAAGCAAGGTTCCCGATTTTTCTACAGTCATGTCATTTATTTGATTAGTACCTTTGTTCATAAAGTAGCTTCGGGATGTTTTTTTACGCTTCTGTGTGACCGTTTTGGCAGCGTTTTCCTTAAATTTTCAAAAATACACCCTGAAACACCCTGTGATATTTTTGAATGAAATGGAGATTTCTTGGTTTTATGAGAAGCATATTTCTTTTCTGTACTTTATTTTGAATCGGATCTTTGCAGTTTGTTGTATTTATTTTGTTAGGCCAAAAAAAAGTCCTCTGTTTCTGGTATGGAGCTTGCCCCAAAAGTGGTGCGGCGATGCGGCCAATTTTTTTTTTTTTTTTTTTTTTCCTTCAAATCTCGGTTGATGACTGCAGATGGTGCCCGACTAAATTTAGTGCAAAATGTATGGGAGCCCAGAGAGGCCACATAAAGCTTATACTCGTTCGTTACCCCATCTAAAAACACGTTAAAATTGTGCAGTAGCAGGATTCCAGTCAAACCAGTGAGTTTGGCGGTTTTAAGACATCATCTTACATTGAAAAAAAAACTTTTTAATTTTGCCGACGCGCATGGCTATGGCGACGCGCGCGCATACCAGAAACCGGAGACTTTTTTTGGCCTTAGTTTACATTGTGTATTTTTTCTGGTTGTTTTTTTTTCCTTTGAAGCATATACAATTTTTTATTAACGTTCATTCTCAGGTAACAAGTCTGGATGGCGTGTACAGTATTCATGAGCCTCACTTCTGGACTCTCTGCACCGACGTCTTCGTCGGTACCCTGAAATTGGAGGTGGCGCCCAACGCCGACATCAAGTACATTACCAGCCAAACGCACAACATTTTTACTCAGGTAATGTGATTGCCAAATATGGCTAACCGATGCTTTTTGTTCGGAATCGTTATTATTTAATACAGTTATTCACACAGGAAGTTAAATTTTTAAAATACTGAAAATTGGCCAAGTTTAGTGCACACATGGCAAAAGTATGCACAACATTTTTTTTTTTTTGGAGAGCCCTGTGGACCGGTCATACTAATAAGTGTCAACACACACAGAAGAGTCAACACAGCGTCAACACCTCCAAAACACATTAAAACTGACAAAAGCAGTGTTCAAACCGCAGAGTATGGGCAAAAACAAGATGTTGGCTTAAAGGGAATGTACATCACTGGCTTTTGCTGTAATTTTCAGAAATGAACTATTTGAGGGGTTAGTATAATAGATCAAAATATTGTTACACTGACATGTTTGAAGTTTTGTGTTCGAAAATGCTGGAAAAACCAAGAAAGCAAAAATGTTCAAGTAGTCTAGTTCCCTGACTCCACTAAAGATGAAATGGATCAATTTATAGATGCCGGAAAATTGTAAGGTAAGGGAACCAGTCTAGCTGGCCTGCACCCATTCATGAACTTGTAACCAATAGCAAACAAAATTTGGACTGAAAAAAAAATGGTAAATTTGGAGCAGTAGTTGAAATAATAGTTAGGTTTTGGTCGGCCGACCACCGTTGGAAATGTATACAAAAATACCATTTTCTTGAAAATGACTTCACACCAGGTGCCATAATTTTACAGGATGCTTTAGACTGTCATTTACCAACATCCTAGTAAGGTATTTCGTAAAAACTTGGTAGTTTTATTTTTCGATGTTTTTAAATGTTGTATATTCCCTTTAAAATCAATAGGTTTAATGTTTGAATATTGCAATTTTCAGTTCAAGAAAATTGGCTCTCCGTGCAGCTCCGAAATCGGCAGCCATGTTGCCTCAGGGGCATGCGGCGCGGACGATACCATTACGCAAAAGTGGTGATAGCATTAAACAATAAATCAACCCCTGTGGATACACAACACAGCATGCACGTGCTAGTTCACGGGTGTATAGCGCAAAGTAGGCAAGCACAAAGCCACAGCGTCTTTGCTTCAGCGTCGGGCGGCATCAGCAGTGTGTTCGAATGTCTCTCCCAGTGGTCCCCCCCCCCCAACTCTCCTTTTCTTATCGTTGAGGGGGTACTTCTGCACGGAACCAATAGAAGTAATCTTTGTATTTGAATGTTTCAGTGGCCCAATGATCAGGGGTAATAATGTAAAACACTTTGAGTACCCGTTATTATTATTAAAGTTTGGTTTCAGTGCCATTTTTTTTTTCATTGTTTAAATGCAGGTCGGTGTCAGGCAATTGTACGTGCAGGTCGACCTAGCAGCCATGTAAGACAAAAGCGGATCACGGTCGACCAACTCTGTTTGTATAGTACTGTCCAGTCCAATAGTTGCGCTACTTACGAAGGAATAAACGGTTACATTGCTATAGACCTTATGCATTGCAGTACCTCAGAGGGCGCTCTTTGTTATAACAATGTAGGCACAAAAGGTTCACAAAACCTCTGCCCTCTAACTCTGCCTTAACCCTCTTGCTATTTAAACAGTCACAGACTGTCAAAATTTCCATCCACTCCAACAGCTATACTTTTAACACAGGCTAGTCTCCAGAAGTCAGATCATATGTCAAGCAAGCACTGTGACTAGTCAAACTCGGTCCATAGACCATGAGCAGACAAAGCAGGCAAGTTGTGGGCACAGCTGGCTTATCAATTACCCACAGTCAAAGCAAAGCTGTATCGAGTTACATAAACAGTCACGGCCAGTTAATCCTGCTTTATGTAGGCTGGGAATTCTTATTAACTGTTGAAAACAGTCACTTGATTGATTTTGACTGAAAGGACTACTTGGCAGAGAATGTATGTTTGCATAGGCGGGTTAACCCTCCTTTTGTTTGATCAGTCACAGACAGTCAAAAATTGTATCCTGTTCCCCTGCCATGCCTTTTACACAGGCTAGTCACCAACAGTCGGATCATATTTCTTGTAGGCACTGTGACAGTCGAATTCCATCAACAGACAAAAGCAGGTGACTGGTAGGCAAAGCGGGCTTGTCAATCTCCTACAGTCAGAGCATAGCTGCATCAGGTTTCATAACAATCACAGCCACTCAATCCTGCTTTATGAAGGCAGGGAGCACTCAACTGTTACAAAACAGTCACTTGATTGATTTTGACTGCTGGGCTGACCTTGTTGAAATTGCCAGCCAGAGAGGGAGGGTTTTAATGCAAAAGGTCTGTTCCCTTCAGTGGTGCAATTTATTTAAAACTCAGCTGAGGCAAGCAAAAAAAAAGCTTATCAAGTCAGCTGTCAATGTACAGAATAAATTAAAACTCAAGATTGTTTAACAGTAACAACTGGGAGAAAAGGTTTTATTTTAAGCAAATATTCAAGAAAGATGTTTATGCTACGGTAACTTCGATTTGGTACATTGAATATTATTTAAGGACCTAGAAGTATTATATTTGAGTCTTTGTTGTCCCACCAAAGCCTACTTAATTATTGAAATCTCCAATTCTCCATCACTTTTGTTCAAATGCAAAAAAAAAAAACACATGAAATAGGGATTTACTAAAAAGGGATTTTATCAAGTAATACAACATATTTTGTGGCGGTACATGTATAAGTGAGAAATATATTTTTGCTTTTTTTTTTTCCTTGTGTACATAGCCGTGCATCTTATTCAAATCAGAACAAAGTAAAAAGGTGTGTTCGGTGAGAAGTGTTTCTGAACTTGAAACTGAAAAATGTCAGAAAATTCATCCCCCAGTTCTCTGAATCTGTCTACTAGGCAGGCTAAGAAATACTGGCAGCTGCAGTTGTAAAACTTTGCCTCATGATTAAATTATTATTCATAAATACCTCATACTGCTTCGTCATTCCTATTGGTCCGTTGCTTGGCAGGCCATGAATATTTATGAAAGACTTGAGTTGTTTTAGTGGGGTGTGTCAGAGCATTTCATAAGCTTAGCAGAAAAGATGTAAAGGTTTGCTCAACATAAGCAGGTTACCTGCCAAAACATCATGCCCAGTGTGCATTGTCTTGACCGGTTCCCAGCAGATTTGTGCTTAGCACATAAAACTGTTATAAAGCAATTATTTTCCTCTTAATAGCCGTTGCATGATAACACCCCTCCCTCCCCGATCATTTATAATGTTGGTTAACCTTTTTTTTTTCATTCCTATCATACAATGCTGCAGGTATTTGGGGAAATGAGTTAATTTCAAGGTATTTTTAAAACTAATTCCAGTAATATGTCATTGTGGGGAAATCTATCACGGTCAATTGAGAACTCTCCTGGTAAAAAAAAAATCTTTCGATTCAAGAAAAATGCACAAATCTGTCTTCCACCAAAGAATAAAGGAATTTACAAATCAACCAACCGAATCTTTTCAGAACCACACTTCCTCCAAGAAGAGATTTCTTTCCACATGGTGTTACTCAAAAAATTTCTTCTGCTTTAAAGGAATTTACAGTACCCCGACACAAAATTCCATCTTATGAATACAAAAGGAATTTGGAGTCTATCAATGTTGTTTTCTTTTATGTTTTGGGGGTTTTCTGAAAATTTGGTTTAATTTGTGATTCGTCAGCGGGTGAGAATAATGATAGATTGTCCTATTTAAGTGAATAACTTCCAGATCAACTAAAAAAGCAGTTATTTATAAGACGCTCTCTGTAAGACAGGTCTTATTTATTTGTTTCATTTCTTCCAGACACATACTCCACTTACATTTTAACTTAACCTACTACAATATGCGAACAACGAACATTTTTGTAGTACATTCGAATCTCGTTACTACAAACTCTCTTAATACAAAATTCTGGTTATAACAAATATAAGCCTTAGTCCCCGACTGTGCATTTATGTGCACAATGAATGGGACTGATGTTCCTCTTAATACAAAATTCTGATATAACAAACAATTTGGCTAGGTCCGAACGAGTTTGTATTAACGAGACTCGACTGTACATACAAAAAAATTTAGTCACAGTAAGGAAGCTTCAAATGAAAATTTAGGCCCAAATTGGGCCCAAATTTGTTTCTTTCTTCCAACTCATAAGTACTTGTGTTACACTGTATTACATTGTATTAATTCCCTGATGGATCCATGAAATCGTATGGTGCTGGGGAGTTTTGGGGTTGTACAGGGAGTAACAGGCAGGGCTGTGCGGGCGGTACAAAACAAAATATCGCCAAGTTATCTTAGAACCAGAAATTGAGTCTCTGTTATCTGGACTGGCTAGAAAGTAAATCGGGAAAGGGTTGTGCCTTTTAAAAAATGACGAAAAATGACAATTTTTGGCATTGGGACAAAGGTAGCCTAATTGCCTCTGTGTGGATATTTGCCTGGCGTACAAAAAAATATGTGTTTAGCGAGTAAACACAATTCTAAACACTTTCTTGCTATCAGTTTGTAAACATGTTTACATTCTAAACATTTTTAGCATGAGGTGATAGCAAGAAAGAGTTTAGAATTGTGTTTAGTCACAAAACACATTTTTGTAGGCTAGGAAAATATCCACACAGAGGCAATTAGGCTACCTTTGTCCCAATGCCTAAAATTGAAAACTTGGTCCCATGGTCAATTTGACCTCTCTTGGAAAATTACTCGTAACTCGGTCAAAAATTATCAGATTTGGATGTTTGATGTGTCAGTTTAAAGTGGAAAGGCGTATCTTTCAAACCATACCTATAATTATCTATGCTGGTTACTCATTCTACGTCTGGCATTCCGTTGTATTTTGTTCGCATTTTTTTTTTTGATACACACTGTACATCAATTGTTTGTTCATATGTATCAACATGTAAAGGTGTGTAGTCTTGACACAGGACTATACAATTCGACAACTTGGAGTATTTTTGGAATTTAGTCGCTGGACAATGGAAGGTGCGTTTTAATTTATTCTGAAGTACCACTGTGGGTTGAATTCACTTAACAGTCACACAAAAACCTGCAGAGCATTCTTTTGATTTTAGTAAAGTTTTTGTTTCATATTATTTGCATGAATGTTTTTAATTTCTTAATTATGTATTACAATGTTGCGAAGTGTAGTAAAAAACAAAAAATAGATGCGAATCTTTAAACAAAGTCTGAAGCAGCTACAGAACATGTGGAAGAGTCATTAGTTTTATTGACCCTAATCCTCTTCCCTTATTTTGTAGCAGCCTGCTTAACCCAAAAGTACCCTCCAGCATTTGAAGTTACACTTCCATACATTTTCATTGAATTAATCATCCGAACCCATGGCCTGGCCGCAAATTATTCTTTCCCAAACAACATCCGCATTACATGGTTTTTGAGCGCCCTCTACGATACTTTTATGATACGTACGCAGGTATATATTGCCATGAATTTCCAGCATTTGTCGAGCAGTTTGATGGCTCAGTTGGGTAAGATTGTGATTTTGTACCACGAGGGATCCTCGCGGTATGGTTTCAAATCACCATTTTTACCTGAATTTTTTTTTTTTTTTTTTTAAAGGGAAATAAAGTCCAAATTTCATTACATTCGAATTCATTTTTTTTTTTTTTCTTCAAAATCCAAAGTCCAAAACGTCATAGCGTACACCTCGTGCAGAATTCGTTTGGGGAAAAAAAAATTGCGGTCTGGCCATGTTCGGACAAATAATTCTATGTACCATTCCACGGTAAATGGACGTTTCATTGCACGGTCACTCCATTACTAATCAGATGACGAGGATTTATTCAGGCCTTGTATAAAACAAATAATGTTTCACATTTGTGCAATGGAAAGAATAATTTCCTTCAGTGACAGATGGAACGTTCCATTCCATTATCACCTCATGAAATTATTCTTACCATTGCACTCATAAACATTCATTATTTGTAGAACATTCCTTATGCACCCTTCAAACCATCTCTTGCCAAAAGTAATAAAGAACAATCACTAACCAATGGCAAGCGAGTAGTTTAAATGACCGGCAACCAATCATGTCGGAACTTGGGGTCACATGCTTTTCTGTCAACCATTACAGTAATCAGTTACAAGAGTAAAGCTCGATGCACCAACCAAGTTTCACACAAAACAATTTCTTGACCGCAGTGCATGGAAATGTCTCTCTTCCATAGTAAAAAAATATTATGTGCATCAAAAGGGGTAAAGTCTTGTGTGCTTTGACGCCAGCAATTAGACCTTGAAATGCTTAAATAGAACAAAATAAATTTATTTTTCTTGAAGCCAGAACTGTATTTCAACATGTTTGTGAATGTACTCAACAGTCTTGTTCAAATAAAGAGCCTCATATACAATATAAAAAGATGTAGAATTGAATGTTATGTTTGAATTGATAATAGACTAATCAAGTTGGTAATTGGCCGGGTTTAGTCCGCCTGCACAGCCATGTACCGCACCGTATCACCAACGCGGCTTTGACTACTGCATACCATCCCAGGGTTACGTGAAGCGCGCAGTTTAATCACACGCGGGAACAATTCCTGCACCCTCGGCCCCATATGCGTACACGTCGATTTCAATTACCGGCTTTAATAGTCTGCACCCGCGTCTGTACACAAGACATGGAAAATGCTACCAAAATTGGACAGACACTCTGATTGGCTAAGAATCAGTAGGATATGAATACTTATATTACACCTGACATTTACACGTCTCCGTGCACGTGCGTGTACACGACTTGTGTGGTGAATGCCTCGCATTGCGGTTACATCGCAACGTTACCTGCACACATGCCCGATTCCGTCCAAAAATCGGTCACATGATGAACGGCCACATGATGACAAACATGACTTCCTTCGTGAATCTGATTGGTTAACATAAATATCGCGTCCAGAAATTGGATCTGGTGAAATCGGATGCAGTTGCCTGGTATATGGTCAGATGGGTCCGGATTTTCAGCCCACACCTCTGTACGATGGCCTGATGATTCAATGAACCAGTAAAATCGAAAAGGTGTGCGCCAAGCTTTAGAAAAATATAAAATTTCTGCTACCTCTTCTCTGCTTCCTCTAACAAACGATCAAATAATGAGGTTTCTATGGCGACCAGCCTAAGCATCTCTAGTTCTAGTGGATGCATGTGACCGGCGATGACCAATGAGTGCAGTGGTCCGCCGAGGTCGACGGACGCCAGTTGCTGCAGGGTACCGGCTGCCATTTGTTGCGTATCCGATCCGACACGTGCCACACCCACGCAGACAGTGTCTTCCGTAAAAGCTGGAAATGAAAATTAAAGCAAACAAAATTGACATTGAAAGTATCATTTTGCGCTAATAGTTTCAAAACTTTACAACTTCATCCCAACTATGGCAAATTGTACTCCCTATATTAAACAACAAAAACAAAAATGATATTTAGTGAAACACATATTTTTCATTTTGGCATGAATGAACTACATCAATTCTGTATTCAAAGTGGTGTAACATAAATACCAAATTGTACCATGGTTCTGGCGGCTTCAAGATAACCTAACTAAAAATTCATCCAACATCTTTATGACCAACTGAAACAATAACCCAAAAATGTTTTAGAAAAATACTGTACTTTATTTTTCCCATCTACACGTAATACAGGGTTCGACTTTAGTGGAAGCCCGCTAGCCAAATGCTATTCAAAACAGCAGCGGGCTAGTCCGAACTATTCCTTAAGTAGCCCGGCTGGCGAGTCAAAAATTATTGGGCTATGGCAAAGATGAAAGGACAGGAAAAAATAAATCATTAAATTCAGAAAGAAAACCTGTAGCAATTTGTGACTTATTTTATTAACTGTTTAAGATTAAATTATTAAATTTGTTTATTAAAAACATTGACAAGATTGCCTCAGGATACACGTTTTACATGTATGCACATTGTTGTTTATGAGACACTCTATAAAAGAAAAACATGCGGGGCAGTGAAAATGCCTGCAGGCCAATTAAGAATCTGTTTCAGTAGCCCGGCTGGCTAGTGAAAAAAAAAGAGTTAAGGTTGAACCTTGAGTTATAACTCATTAAAAGAAATCAAGCTGCTCAATTTTTAGAGATTTGCAATACCACAGGTATGTTCTGATCTGCTTTCTGATTCTCCAAAAACTTTCTGCACCTTGGCTGCTGGAGGCACTTTTGGAATTTTGATTTTTATGACCTATGACCCCCAAAAATGATATTGTAGTCTTGAGAAATTGATATTTAAAACAAAATTTACTATTTACTATGCAAACGAAGACCTTGACAAAATCATCATTTTTATTATTAACTGCATTCACAAAGCTTTGATATTGACAGTGCCAATGACTGTTAATATTTTACAATAACTTAAGTCAACCAAAATTAATCTTGTTTTCTCTTGTTGAAGATGCTCTTTGAAACTGCATGTAATAAACTGTGCACTTAACACATTGCTACCTAATTTTTCCTGACCGTCTGAACTCCTTTTTCTTTCCACTATTTGGAGCAGCTGGGAGGCTGCCTGGCTGACTGTCATGTAGCGTGGCGGTTCGTAGATCTTCCTCCCTCTGTGAATGAAATATTTTCAATATCTACATCACTTCATAACAAACGAATCGGACTCGTATTTAATCAAGCTCGATTGGATGTCGGAAGCTGCGGGCCAACAAATTCGTGTTCATGTACGAGTCTCGGCGCGATTGTGCCATGTAATTTCTGGAAGGAGTAATGTTTTGAGTAAAAAAAATATCACTTTTGACCCCAGTGACCCCATGATGACCTTTGACCCTGGTTTGGTCATGTGACATGTTGGGGCTGGGCTACTGATACTTTTGACAAAGTTTGTTTGAAATCGGTCAAAACACGTAGGAGCAATAGACAATGTCAACGTTTGTTACTAACTAACGGACTAACGGCGAGACATGGTGATTAGTTGGGCTGCTATCCCACAGCTAAAAATGTACTGTCCGCACCACTTTTGAGTTGCACCCTAAAACCTTGTCCATCCTAATTTGTGATGACTTGACCACAAATCTGCACTGAAGCACCTTCATGGAACCCTAACCGAAGTCAACCCATCAAAGCCCAACAGCAGGTTTTGTTTAAATCTGTTGGGATAGGTACAGTACCCCTAAACTGATTGTCTTTTACACTTGGGTTGGCATACCTCCAGGAACTAAGTCCAACAGTGTGTGTGTACAATTTCCCATGTGGGTGTTGGAATTTGCCTAAATGGGTATGGTTCCTAGTAAATTATGCTGGGGAGTTAGGGTTAATATTCGCACTTCACCACTAGAGGGCTGTACGTGCACAGAACCGATAGACTAAAACAGTCCACACCAGAATTACTTGTCTATGGCTAGCTGCAGTGGCACACGAGTCTATGGGAAATGGCTGCAGCGGCTTCCATAGACGCACGTGTAATTACTAGCCATAGCCGAGTCATTTGGGCACAGCCATATCTCTCACCTCATCATGTTCTCAATGGACTGCTCTTTGACTTTGATGTCCAGTAGACACAGCGTGTGCAGTCCGTTCCGTCGGTTGCTGGCAATCTTGTCGTAGTAACTATCTGGTGTCCAGGTGTCGGTCCAAAACACGATGGAGACAGTCTCTCCAAAGTTATACAACTGAAAATAAATTGTATAATATTTAAATTGTCTTTTTGGTTCCCCTTTTCATTGTGGATATAAAAAAAAAGTAACTAATTTTGTAATCTTAAACAATTAAGACTTTAAAGTTTTATCTCCATCTATCAGGATCATCAAGGAGTTTCCCCGCACCAAGGATTTTTACATCAAGGATTTTATCAGGAATTTTATAGATAGCTGTCTATTGCTTAACCCTCCTGCTGTTTAAAAGGTCACAAATGGTCAAAATTTCCTTACACTCAGTCACTCCCCATGGCTTACTTTTAACAAACCAATGGGTCACTTGACCAATATTGACCACTAAAGTAACAGCATGGCTCAGAATGCATGTTTTCATAGGAGGGTTAATTATGATGCATTTATTGTAATCCGTAATATTCCAGTGGCAAGTTTTCCAAAAAATCAGTCTAAATGATGAATGACAACAAATCTAGAACAAATGAATATGCTACAACATGAAATACAATTTTCAAACTTTGGTAGCTCATCCTATAAACTGATGATCATATCTTCTGACAAAAATCATGCAAAATTCAAATATGCAATCTTAGTACGCAAATTTCTGGCTCACCTGTAGCCCGCAGCATCCAATGGCATTCATGATTGACGCATTGTGGATCACTTTGTACTCTATCCCTTCCTGCCTTGCTCTGAGGACAAGATCGGTGTGAGTCGTGGCCCTGTTGGGTAGAAACAAAAGAGCAATCAAATAATTATATTACGTTTCACTGTCAGTCTCCACTATTTTTTTTACTATTTGAGGGGACCCTTTCATATGCATCGGGGAGTGTGGCCTAGTGGGTAGGGTTTATGACTCATTATTAGAGGGTCAGGGGTTCAAATCTAGCTGCTGGACGTATGTTGTGTCCTTGGGCAAGCCACTTCACCCCCACATGCCTCTCTCCACCCAGGAGTATAAATGGGTACCGGCATTAGCTGGGGAGTAACCTGCAATGGACTAGCATCCCATCCAGGGGGAGTAGAAATATTCTCAGTAATTTCATGCCACTGAAACCAGAGACAAATGCCGGCCTGTTAGACCACATTGGCTCGTGCAAGACTTTACTTTACTTATTTTTCATTATGCACAATACGTTGATTTTAATTTTCATTCATAAATACCTCAGACAGTTTAGCTATTCCTATTGGTCGAGAGCCCGTCACGTGGCCGGTCTTAAACGGATGATAAAGACATGGCTAGCTGGTCTTAAACACTTTTCCAGTGTCACAATAAAATGTGGACTCCTAAAAATCCAGTGCCTCTTACCGTTTCATTGGTTGAACGTTCACAATCCTCACGTAGGCATGCGCAACACTACAATCGAGTCAGAATTTTATAGTTCTAAATTCAAAACGCAACGCCCCAGGTGCGTTCTGCGTGACATCGCGCAGAACATGTTACGCGCGCGTCAATCTCCATAAAAGGGTTGTTTACATCTTACTCGCCAGCTGAACACTCCATTATTTTGCTAGAGGGATGTTTCAAAAAGCATGAAGTGAACTTGTTGAACAAAATCGGGATTTTTTGAACGAATTATTTGATATTTTTTTACGGATAAGGTATTTATGAATGGGAATAAATATGTGCTCGGTCGGTATTTATCACTCTGTTTAATACCGCTTAGAGTCTGGGTGCTGATAATTACCCTCGCCTCCGGCTCGGGTAATTATCAGCACCCAGACTCTAAGCGGTATTAAACGAGTGATAAAAACCTCCAGAGCACACATTTATTCCCTTATTAAATGAAGTCATGAATTTCTCGTAATTGCTGTTACACATAACTAATAACTATCGAATCAGCCCAACTGTTGTACACAAATATGGAATGCTTGCTTCGAGTGGTGTAGTAAAACTAGCCTCCCGAGGTGATCCATGGACATTCTATTTTCCCGAGGTGAATAGAATGCTCCATGGATCACCGAGGGAGGCTAGTTTTACTTCACCACGACATAAAGCATTCCATATTTGTTTTATAACACTTCACCCACAAGATTCTGCTTGGTTTTAATATTTATTTAAATCTGAAGACAGTTAAACAAAAATTCAATTTCAATACAAAATTGGTGGGAAATGTATTTCTCTCTTCCAAACCACCCCTTTACAAAATGTTTGAACCCAACTCCGTGGCGCACTCTCTTTAGAACAATATGCGCTACGCGCAACGCGCACACCAGCATGCATTTGCACACAATAGGGCCTACCGCGCCATGGGTATAGTACTTTGGTTGCTACAGGTATAGTACTTTGGTTGCTACGGGTATAGTACTTTGGTTGCTACGAGTATAGTACTTTTGGCCGTGCACAGAAAGATAGCAAAAATATAAAGTACCATGTGACTCGATCTCGGCCAATCAAGACACAGAATCTGTGGGTAAAGTGTTATAATTGGGACTATCCCAACTATAGTTGGGACCTTCCCAACTACAGTTTGGACAATGCCGCATTGAGGGCATGTCAAACTCTTGGTTGGGTCACATGAGGTGATGTGGATTTTTCCCACTTACCCGAAAGGGTCTCCAACAACAAGAAAAGCAATGTCTTCTGTTTCAGCGTCTCTGAAGAGTTCATCTGACTGCTGTTCAACCATGTCCCTGTCGGCTAGAATCAAGTCCCTGCCATAGAATTCCTCCTGTAAGTATAAAAATTATATAGCAAAACTAATACAGGGTGAGTGACAAAATTAAAAAAAAAAACACCAAAATGTCAGGACCAATTTTTGGCGATTGTGTATCTACGGGCCTGGTTCCTATTATCAGGGAACAAAATCCACTTTCAAGAGGCTCGATATAAAGCCAGTGGCACAAGAACACTGAAATCTTAGATTTTCATGAGATTTATGGCGAATTTACTGGTCAATTATGACAGTCCCTGGAGCATTGGTTTGACACGTCCGTCTACATCATGGCTAGCGCCCATCTAAATTGCTAGTGCTGAATTGCAAGGCACAAACTGCGCAGGAAAAACTGTGATTTCTACCCAAAGAAACTGTTCAAAATAGCAAAACGGGTGTCATTAGAATTAAGAAAAGTCTGCTTTTGGTTGTAAAGTAGCTTGAATTGAGTAACTCCAGCTGACATGCTCCATATTCATTCACATATGTGAATGAATATGGAGCATGTCATATTCATTCACATATGTGAATGAATATGGAGCATGTCAGCTGGAGTATATGGAGCATGTCAGCTGGAGTTACTCAAGCTAGTTGTAAAGGTGTTTTTTTAGCAATAAAAACAACATTTTTGACTCTTATTCGATCAGAACACAACAGGGGCCCTTCACTACACGATCGCCACTTGACTTCCCTACTATGACCGTCGACCGGACCATTATTGCATTACTCGCAATCGACGCCTAGCGCCTGCACTCACCAAACCTTCTTTGCCCACAGTAAGAATCGATGTATACGCCTCTAGATACACCCTCTTTGCCCTCTTGACAACTTCCAGCCCCTTGACCGTGATGTCTTGGGCATCTCCTAATCCCAGACCAATAAAATACAACATTTTCGACTAGTGATGACGGTACCGTGATGACCAAAGGGGTAATGACGATCACACCGCACGCACGTAAACAAACTCCACGTGTGGTTGAGAGGTCATCAGCTGATTGACCCTAGGCTCGTTCAAGCAGTTAAAAGATTTACTGAAATTTATTCCTCCAAAATCAATAAAAATGTACTTTAAACAAAACAAAGAATAAGTTTGAAAAACAACTTTTATTTATACATCCTTTTAGTATTTGAGTACTTTTATACATTATGTTAATCATACTTTTTTCTGGAAGATTATGAAATTTCCCTTCCGGCAGGGCGGATCCAGGATTTGAGAAAGGGGGGGGGACGTTTCGCCTTATATCATTGATCTCCATTATATAATTGCACCCACCGGTTTGGGAGTGAGCGAATGTCACATATTGCTCCAATCGCGAGGGAGAAAAAATCTTCTTTTTTTTTGAAGAACGGGTGTAACGAGATAAAGGCATATTTTGCACGCGTGAGGGCGCTGCAATAAGCTAAATTTTTCCCGTAACGCACTTTACTTTTTTTATTAAAAAAAAAAGTAACCAAAATAAAAATACCCAAATCAATATCAATCAATAAAATAGGAGGGTCACTCTTAGCATGTTATGTAGGCCTGTTCCAAGTAAGTGAAACAAACGTGTGACCGATTAGGAACGATTATATTTTTGCATGGTATTTAATAAAAACCCATACATTTTTACGGTCACTGGTCTTTCTTTTTCAATACAAATCGTCCCATGTGAAAAGCTATTGAGAGCTGAAACTTTGGTATTCGAGACTGAAAAAGGTCTTCATGTAAATTTCAGGCTATAAAATGGTGAACTTGAACAACTTACTTCTATAATGGTCATTATGTGGGGGTAGTTGAAAACATTCCTGCAGCCCCTTTTCAGGCCTCATGAAATTTCATCGTGTTTACGAGTGATCAAATCCCCCCCCCCCCCACCACCATGCATGAGATAGAAGTTGCCTACTTGGGCTAAGCGCTAAGCGAGGCCAGGCAGGACCGTCGGAAGGTGCGCGTGGGACTTTGAAGGGGTGAAACGGATGAATTCAGGTCACTGTCATAAAGAAAGTTGATGACTCACAATCCTGTCAGTGAAAAAAAAACATAATGCCTAATTAACCAAGCTCATTTAAGCTACATGCCTTACTAATGTAAGCCTATGCCTTCGGCTCAGTTCCCTTTTAGTTTTTAAGTTAAAACATATAGTTCCGATATTAGAGGGACCGGAAACCAGTCTACTGTGCGCCCCCCGCCCCCCGCCCCTCTCAGTCCCCCATTCTCCTAGATCCGTATCCGTCACAACAAACCGCCAACCACGAAATCAGCTGATTGGCAGACCAATCGTCTCAGTAGGTTAAAACAAATACTTTTGGGCAACAACCGTGACCGCAACAATACCTCGAAATTCGTGTTACTCTGTAAACTGACACAGCTTAAAAAAAAATCGGAAACCACGACCTACCAGTCATCATTTCCCGCTGCTCTGTTTTACACCCTTCATTTTAATAATTAATACATTTTCGCGTAACGGTAAATGTTGAATTATTTCCAGGACGCAAGTTAAATAACAGTCACATTTATTGTTTTATATACCATGATGATAGCATTAGTTTATTACTTTTCATACAAAACAATTCTTTAATGTTTTATGATAAATATACACAGGTCGATAAAATATTGTCATTCGTTTTAATAGTAATACGGTAAGCATTTTGTTAAGCGATTATATACAACTTCTAATTTGCTTATTCGTTGCATTTTATTCTGTGTATAATACAGGCCCAAGCTTTGGTTGTATGTAGCTTAGGAACTTATGATGCTTATTCTGAATTGTGCCTGTAGCACGTGCATTGTACCTGTGCTACTTTTGATCCTAAATAACTCAGTTGTTTACCAATGGAATTAAACCAACATTTCAGATTATGTAAACAAGGCATGGCAAGTTTTGTGGAGCGAGTTTCATCAGCTTTGTGCAAGAGGACGAGATTTTAACGCCACGGAATAAATACTTCTTTTCAGAATGTCGACACAGCGCTGGAGACGGTGGCGGACGGCGCGTGCTGCGGCTGAAAGCTTCTGAAGGAATGCAGGATCACCCCTGATGTCATTGCACACCTCCTCCATCGTGTGTCGAGCCAAACGACCGAGAACGTGTTCAATGACATCAGGGGTGATCCTGCATTCCTGCAGAAGATTTCGGCCGCAGCACGCGCCTTCTGCCACCGTCTTCAGCGCTGTTTCGACACTGGAGGACGCCAAGTCGAAAGTGGCCGATTCTAAAAGTGACTATTTTTTTGTATGGCATTTAAATCTCACCCTCTTGCACAAACCTGACGAAACTGGCTCCATAAAACTTTTTTTTTGACAAGTGTACTGTCGTAAGTCTTTCTCTGAAAATATGATCAGAATGTTCAATATTTCTATCTCTCTACATCTATACCTCCTGCTACGCGGCTCCTTTGCAGTGTATGCTTAGCGGAGAATATTGCTAAACAAATTAAGGTACTAAGCTGGCAACCAGTCATAAGCAGCAGGCCTATAGATTGCACGACAGTTTAGCTGGTAAACCTATTTTTTTTTGCTATTAGCAAATAACATGTGTGCTTAGCATTCAGCTCCTTAATTGTTCTCAACAATGTTCCTTCTTTAGCAGGGCAGATAGGGGGCATATTTGGGGAAATTGTGCCTTTGATGATACAAGCATGGCATTTGGCACACAGTCAGAGTATGTCTTAAGAAAGATATTTGGCTATAGGGCCATCGCAGATTTGTCCTTTGAAAACATATGGGTTGGATAACAAGCAATTTTCAAATTTTTCAAAATAGCTGCCATTGCTTTGTTATTCTACCTATATATTTTTTTCAAAGGACAAATCTGCGATGGCCTTATAGCCAAATATCTTTCTCATGACATACTCTGACTGTGTGCCAAATGCTATGTCTGTATCATCAAAGGCACAATCCCATCATTTATCTGCCGTACTACTTCACTCGTATCATGGCCATGCCATCACTTTCCAAATTTTACGCGCCTAGAATTCTATATACACAAGATATACAGTTTAAACATTATTTACAGCTTGATTTTAAGCTTAGGCTTACACCTAAGTAATTTCAGCATTCTAGGGATAACTCATTTTTTAACCAGAACATATTGGCAGTGCGTCACTGGTTTTAGGCAAATACGGATAAAATCTATTTATCCATATTGCGCTTGCAAGCAAAAACAAACTAAATTTGCATTTTATGGATAACTCATTTTTAAACCAGAACATAAATGGCAGTGCATCACTGGTTTTAAGCAAATATGGATAAAAATGTATTTATCCATATTGCGCTTGCAAGCAAAAAATCTAAATTAGCATATTATGGATAACTCATTTTAAACCAGAACATAATTGGCAGTGCGTCACTGGTTTTAAGCAAATATGGATAAAAATTTATTTATCCATATTGTTCTTGCAAGCAAACATCTAAATTAGCATTTTATGGATAACTCATTTTAAACCAGAACATAATTGGCAGTGCGTCACTGGTTTTAAGCAAATGTGGATAACATTTGATTTATCCACATTGCGCTTGCAAGCAAACATTACGAGATTTAGGCAACACTTTACAGTACTTCATCTAAAGTACAACAATCTAAAGTACTTCATCTATATCTAAATACCAACAATGATAAAATAATGATACAAGTAAATACTATCAGCCTTTTTTTTCTTCAAATGGTTCGGTTTCCTTATTTTCGGCTTCAAACATCACAACTGTTTTTGGAAGTTCGAGAGGAAAAGTCACCTGATTAATTTAGATAAACAAATTCTAATTCAAATATTATTACAACAAGTGTTTTTTATTTTCACAAAAACTGCCAACAGTGTGCTCGATGTTTACATAGACCGTTCCTCGGATATACCAGGCGAACGAATACTCATCAGATTGGGGCTTTTGAAAACCGCTGTGTCATTATAGATTAAATGCATTGAGCGGCCATTCTTTGGGGTGTGTTTTGTTATTCTAATTCATTAACAATGAATACAAAAGAGGCCTACACATGCGTAAAATCCCATACCCCAAAGATGGCGGCAATGCAAACAGTCTACAGAGTGGTTCAAAGTAAAGGAAATCCACTTTTGACAGCAATTTTCACCTATACTTGGTTAACTTATTTCAATGTTTTCTTCGCATAGTAGTAAAGTGTAGCCCTTTAACCATGAATGGTGAAAAAGTTTAGTAAAAGTCGCAAGAATAGTGATATTTTGCTAATTTGAATACACGTCACCCAAATCAGTCTTGTTCACGTGTTATTCTATGTAAAGTGGACGTGTTTTTTGTAGTTCACAAAATTTAGAAGCCTTGCCAACAAAATGTTTTGACCTGGTAACTTTTATTGAGGCTGTGCGATTATTCATGTCAGTGTTAAGATCATCTACCCAAGGAGCTGTATATGCTTAAGTTCATTATTGCATAACATTACATAACAATCAAATGCCACGGTTGTTACCCTTTCAAAAAAGAAGTAGAACTAACAATCCTTGTTTGAAGTGTGATAATGTTTTGTCTTCAAATCAGGCTCAGATAGCGGAGCTCAGTCAAGCGGATGAAATGTATACCTCCGTGGACAAACAGGTTTCGCAATGAAATGTTCAAACTACCATAGCTCAGAGACAAAATATGCAGTTGCAACGATTTTTTTCGTCACTGATGCTAAAAGGCCAGAACTTTAATAGCTACTAATCAAAAGTTTACAATAATGTTTAAATATAGGTGAAAATTGCTGTCGAAAGTGGATTTCCCTTCTTTCTTTTTTTAACCACCCTGTATCTTTACTGATATTGAGCTAGTTCGAATTTGGTTTGTCACTTTGGGGTAAACCCCCAAACTTGTACATTAAATTTTAATTTTGATAAATAAAATTATGAGCCATTATACCCCTTCAATGTCCCATAATAAACGAATGTCGCCTTTTCTTTGACGAGCCGAACATGCTGTTGTACATTTTTCTGCAGCAGCAACAGCAGCAGAAGCAGCAGCAGTACAGCAAGCAGACGACGGCAGCCAGTACGGAGCCCAAAATCAGCCAGAAAGTTTCGGAGGAGGCGGTGATTGGCTCATTGGCAGACGCGCAACAAGATGATTGGCCACAGCAGGACTTGGAACAGGTACTATTCTGGAGGGGGAGGAAGGAAACAAAGAATGCTCAAATAGAATACAGGGAGAGTCAAAATAGAAAGTGACCCGGATTGAAGAGATTTTTTTTCTTAAAACGCAATCAAATTTCAAACACCAATAAAGTATAAAAAGATAGCATGTTCTTCCACTCATCTGAAAAAAAAAAAAGAATTACTGAAATCAGAAGTCAAGTTATGCACGTTTTACTAAAATAACCCATTATTATAACTATCCATTGAATGCCATTGGAGCTATTGAGCTGAGTGAGAATTACAGATTACACACAAGCATTCAAATACGAATGAAATGTTAATAATTAAAATCAAGACTGAAACATTATCTTTACTGTCAGATTTTGTGTTTTTGAATAAGAAGAACAAGTCAACTTTTTTTTCCTGAAATATTGATAGTGATTTTTGTATGTTTTCCTTTGCAAGTTCTCGTTAATTCATGGAGGTGGAAAAACGTCCATGTTTCATTGTATTTAATAAATAATGGGTGTTCATCAGTTCGTAGAATAGTAAATAATCAGTGGTGGACAGCCGAGTTTTGTGTTCTATTTATTGAAATAGACATAACTCGGCAAATTACGAGAAATTGTCATAGTTAAAAGTCAATAAGATGTACTTTATCCTTATTTATTTTATGAAAATGGAGCAAGCCAAACATTTTAAAATTAGTTTTTCAAATTCGGTCACTTTCTTTTTGACTCACCTTGTAGTCAATCGGTACTAAACTATACTGATGCATTAACATTATTGATTTTATCGGGTTGGGATATTGGGAGGGGGTGGATGTTTCTTTCATTTTCTGTTCAATGGTTGGGTGACAAGAATATTTAATTGGTTTTTCTCCTCGTGCCTTCTTCACTATAAATCCTCTGTTTTTCATAGTTTACTTTTTCCTAGTTTATACTTATTGAACACTTATCGATTTTTTTTCATGAAATTGGGAAAAAAGTCAAAGACTTCTTCGTACCTTGATGATGCAATCTGGGTTTTCACCGGGGCAACAGTCCAGCGGACAGCTAGCGGTATTCTCGTGGGCGTCACACCGGCCGTCTCCACAAGACAACTCCGTTAATGTTGATCTGGAAATTAAGGTAAATGTGAAATCGTTGGAGGTTTTATAGTATTTTTTTCACAAGTTTTGCATGGTTAGAAGTAGCGCATAAAATCAGTGAAATGCATTCAAAATGCTAATTCTCTAGTTCTTTATGACCGACTGAAAATCTAATAGACCTTTATCAGGGTACGCCATTTTGAAAATCGAAGCGAGGCAAATAATACAAACAAACATTCATTGCGGCGTAAATGGTGTCTGCGGTGAACGAGTGACTCTCGCAAAGTTACAGCAGATTGACAATCTTATAAATGGATGGTTAGCTTCTTCTTCACAATACAATAAGACTTGACCTACCTACAATGTTGATTGATGTTTCGGGGAGTTAGAGCCATCCATCCATTCACAACTGCTGTAACTTTTCGAGAGTCACTCGTTCACCGCACACACTATTTACGCCGCCATGTTTGTTTATATTATTTGCCTCGCTTTGATTTTCAAGATGTCGTACTCTGATAAAAGTCTATTGCTAGGGAAAACACGCCGATCGTTTCAGCCTTGACTAGATTCTCATTTCAGTCAATAGTTAGCGATGGCCCTGTGCTTTCCATTTCATGTTATATTATATTAGGCCTAGTTATACCATTTCACTTCCTGCTAAACCAACTACCTTCCTGCTTAGGCTTGACATTAGTTATAACGAGGATCTATACTTTGCTCCACCCCTTAAAGAGCCCGTGTAATGTAATTGTGTTTATGCAATCCTTGAAAATGTACCTTTGCGTCCCATTTAACCTTATTTTCAATGTTCGTTTCACCATTTTCAAGGGTATTTTGATGCTTTTTTTTTGCTTTTATACTACTGCGAATTTCCATATTCATGAGCAAAAGTGTGATGTCTTTCAGGCTGAAACCTCAATGTTACAGCTATTTTAGCTCCACAAGTTTCCACCACTTTGGATATTTCGCTGTCGTAAATTTTCATTTCTTTGGAGATTAATTGTTGTGTCAGTGCATGGCAGTAAGCGAGTAGGCAAATTTTTCTCACCCCTGAATGTTTTCAATGAGCAAATGTTTGTTTTTTAACACAAAACCCCCAGAAATAACAGTGTCTTCCTGAAATGACATCACATTCACAGCAACAGCCCCTCAGTTTACGTAAAAGCATGGAATATTTGAATGTTTAATCAAGTGCACTTTTCAGTAAAATTATTACCCAAAAAAGGGATGTCACATAGTTTTCATACAGTTAAAAGGAGGAGAAAGTTGCACAGAATATGTTCCTAAGAAAAATTCATAACATGAACCCTTTAAATTTTGTTGTATTATCCAAATTCCGCTGGGATTGTCTCTGACTTACTCTTGCCCACACGCCTCCACAAAGCAGGCCGACCACACCCAACAGTCGTCGGTACTCAGCCACCCCCAACGACGATTACACCTGCAATGAAATATCATCCGGGTACATGAACTGTGACCGTTCAACATCCTCGGTTTTATCCCACATTCGGAAATGACGCAGACAACATGAAACCGATTCACACTGCTCTGTGAACACTATGGGAATTATACATAGTTTAACTACATACCTGACCACAGTTTAACTTATCCGACTACATTATATATTTGTCTTGTGCCCGAATCAGTTAAACCACTAAAACCATTTGACCGACACATGTGACCAATTGTTAATTAATAATGTAAACAATATTGGTTTATTTAGTGGTAAAGATTAACCATAACTTTAAAGGAAGTGTTTGTTCTTTTGCACATTGTCTGTTCGTCACTGCACCCTCCGAGTCATTTTGTCAATTAACTGCTACATTAGTTGTTTTGTTTACATTTTTGATGCTTTAGAAAATAGTATACACAGAAACAAAGTCGTCCAACTCACAGTTTTTCTGCCTTTTCTTTCTCATTACATGTGAAGCCTGCCTCTCGCGTGAGCTCGGTTCTGTTCAGCCGGAATGGATTGCAGTCATAGTTGAAAGTTGGGACCTGTGGAAAGGGTTGACAGGTGGTCAATGCATATATTGCTACATTCTATCGGTCTATAATGCCTTTGCCATACAAGCTTAACATAAAGTGGGCGTGGCTTCTCAAGCAGAGTTTTTACTGATTAAGAGGCGTGGTCTGGGAGGCACGCCTGTTTGAATCAACAAACTTGTCAACAAATGAACTGTTGCGCATCAACAGCTACATCTTGACCTGCACAAGTTTTAGGCTTCGGTTCACAATGATTCGGACTGTCTTAATCAGTGGCGGTTCTTTTTTTCTACGGGAGGGCTGGGGGGGGGGGGCTAAAATTGTGTCTAGGCCCCCCCCCCTCAAAAAAATTCCATCAAAAAATAAACATTGCACTAGCAAAATGTAAGAATGTGACGTACATTCGAACGGGTCTCCCCCTAAATAAATAGTCGTGAGAAGGGTGCATTTTGTACACTGTTAGTATAGTGTGCATGATTGTAGGATTTTATCAGCGCTCCCTATTGAAAATATGGCACGAGCCCCCCCCCCCCCCCCCCCCCACCCACCCCCAACCCCACCCCACCCCCACCTATTGATTTTCAGAGGCCTAAGTTTACGGAGGAAATAACCGGTCTACATTTCAGCACACCTCCCTTAAAACAATGGATCCACCCTGCTAGCCCCCCCCCCCCACCAAAGTTGGCACTAGAACCGCGCCTGGTCTAAATTCATAAATAAAATCAAAGATTTAGACAAAAATCTCGCAAGAAACATTTGAGTTCCCACCTTGATGTCCTGGTCTGTTTTCGTGGTGGCCCCGCCTATCCTGTCGCAGCAGGTGTAGAAGTAGTCCGTGTTGTTGGACTCCACCCGTAGGTTGAACGTGAAACAGTCCCCGCTGGACTGGGCCTGGGCGACCGGCCGGGCCGGCGGCTGGCGCTCCCCCGGCACCGGCTCCATGCCCTGTCCCCTCGTTGCTGGAAGAAGCAGCAGAGTCAGGAGGCAGACAAGGGCCGGGAAACGATGGGCACACGTCGGCATTTCGATATCGGAATGCCGCTGTCAATGTCGCTAAATGTCACATCATTGCATGATTTATTACAATTTAGCAGGTGATTGTATTTTTTTGCAGGAGGAAGTCCAACACTGCATATTATGAACGCCTAAAATGAATGGCAGAATTTTTTTCGGTGGTGATTTGGGGGAAACGTACAGCCAGCGGGAAGTTGAAATTTCCGGAGTCGGTGGCAGGAAGATAGAATGCACAGTGTATTTTCATTTTGAGCGAATCAGTCAAAGTGAAACATGAAGGTCATGTCATTGACGTATTTCATTGTATCCTATATGCAAGAATGTTCAAGAAAATTTAGGGCGTCAAAATGAAATCGACAAATATGGGAAAGTGGGAGTTTGTGAGTATACAACTAGGTCGAAAAACCCTACAAAACTACAATACATTTGTACCATCTTCCCTTGCTTTTCATATTAAATTTGGGGCGGAACGTTTTTGGACCCACTTTTTCGGGAACAAAAAAAATATTGCCCCCTAAAAAAAGGAGGGGGGGGGGTGGATTCGGCCTTGAAAAGAGGAGGGTTAAAGATGACCAAAAATGTTTTTGGTGTTTTTTTCTTCGAGTTAAATGCACCCCCTCCAAAAAAGACAAAAAATATGTTTTTGTTATTGCTATGTTTCTAGCAGGGGGCGGGGGTGATACAATAGTTTTTGACTTTTGAATGAGACATCTAAGATGCCCACTTTATAGTTGTGAATTAGTTTTCATTTGGGGCCCGACAATAAAAAAAAAGACACACATGATCTTTCTACCTTTTGGACACGGAAAAGTGCGCCATTACAGCGCCGTTGCAGCGCCCTCATGCGATGAATTTCAAATTAGCACGAAACCGAGGCTCTCGGTGATTAGCCATTGTATGAATTGAGGACTTTTTTTTTTTTAATCCTCTCGACTAAAGACAACACTTGGACCCTCGGTTTCAGAGTGACAATTTGAAATTCGCAGAAAGTATTTTACATGGATTTAATCACTTTTGAACAGTAAAGGGACAATGATTGACGATGGCCTTGACGGTAGTCTTGCTATCTCACCAATCGATGGTAGGACGGTAGGATATGTTTCCTGTCTTTCGACTTCCGTTTGACCCGGGCTGGCTTCCCATTTACGCATTCACAACAAAGGTCACTGATTTGGTATAGGTATTGCTGTCATTATGAAAACAATGCAATTCTCACTAACACCGTTTGCACGCGTCATGTTTATGGGAATTGAATATGCAGTTTTGATCTGATAACAGATGTGGTGTGATATTTACCCGTATAGATAAATAACTAGGCTTTTGTTTTTGGAATCGTACCGTAAAGTGTTATCATACCAAAGGCCACTTTCCTGTCACTTTGTTGCCAGCTCAGTTCGGAGGTAAAAATCCGTAAAATTTGAGGAATGAATTCAAAACATGATAAGGCAAATTCTTTTTATGGAACCGCCATATGCAAATCAGATTGCTTTAAAGGGAATGTACAACATTTGCTTTTGCTGCAATTTTCAGAAATAAATGGATTTGGAGGATTAGTATGGTATATAAAATATTGTTAAACTGACTTGTTTCATGTTTTGGGCTTGTAGATGCTGGAAAAACCAAGAAAACCTATCATGTTCTTGTAGTCTGGTTCCCTGACCCCACTTAAGATGAAACGAAGCAATTAATACACTTTGGGGAATTGTAAGGTCAGAGAATCAGTCTAGCAGGCTTGTACCCCTTCACAGGTGTTTGATCAATTGCAAAGAAAAGTCAGAATAACTAAATATGAACAATTAAGAACAGTTTTTGAAAAAAGCCAGTTTTCTCCAACGCTGGTCGGCCGACCAGCGTTGGAAAAATATAGTTTTTCTTGAAAATGTCAACCCACCAGGAGCCACGATTTTAAAGGATGTTTAAGACTGTCAGTCCCTAACAATTCAGTAAGGTATTTCGTGATAAGATCGTTTCGTTTTTTTGATGTTTGCAAATGTTGTATTTTCCCTTTAAAGGGGGAAGTTGTGCGAAATAATTACAATATACAGGGTGAGCTAAAAAAGGAAACCCGAATAGCAAGACTTTTTTTAATGACGTTCTGCATGTAGTACTTTGAAAATGTAGGATATGAAAGCCCAATTAAAAAGCTTTCGTTTAGTACAAGAATCATTCTATTACTAATGTACTTTTCAACTTACGGGTTAGGTAAGTGTTCTTTCAGCAAAACGGAAACAATTCACATGTACGTGAAGTGTTTTTGTTTTGCTGAAAGAACACTTACTTTGTGATCCGCGGACAGAACTTTAAAACAGTGTTAGTGTGTTAAATCCCGTAACTTGAAAAGTACATGCGTGATTTGAATGATTCTTGCACTAATCGAAAGCTTATTAATTGGGCTTTCATATCCTAGATCATGAAAGTGCTACATGCAGAACTTCCTTACAAAAATGGTCCTGCTATTTGGGTTTCCTTTTGTTTTTTACTCACCCTGTAGTTGGACAAGTTTAACTACATGTTGTATTATCGTCAAAAACGAGACTAGGAACAGCGCGCGCTGTTCCAGGGTGCACAACATTCTATATACTCAATGTTTTGACATAGAATGGCTCAAAAGTTCGGGAATTACTAAAAAGTTTGTAGAATGGTATAAAGTGATGGAAAGAGGTTACCAGTCTAATTCACAAGTGACAGTACAGCTGTCAGTAACCATGCAGATAACCAGTGGCGTAGCCACTGTCTAAATTCCAAAGAGTGAAATTAGGGAGTAGACGTTTTAGAGTGAAAATCACTCTCATTTTCGATTGAAATAGTCTGAAAAAAAAGAACCACTTCAGTCGAAGCTCGAGTGAAAACTCGATCTTTACGATTAAAGAAATGTCACTCTAAAACGTCTAGCCCTAGTTTCCGACTGTGGGAGTGAATCTTCACTCGAATTGAGTGAATTTTCACTCTTTGGAATTTAGAGAGCAAGATTTTGCAGTTTGCAATGGAGGCATCTTTTTTTTTCTCAAAATGGCGATGGGATTCAGAACTGCTTTTAGGGGTGATCATCTTTGGATGAAATCTTCCCCAACATTTGAGCAGAACATGAAAGATGATGAAATGACCTTTAATTTGATGGGTGTCTCCAACAGCTTGGGAGTTGTGAGTTTTTCCCCTGAATTTCGGAAGTGGGCGTATTTTTCACTGGGGTCTATGGTGGCTTATTTACTGGTCTGCAACCGTATGGTGCTTGCCCCGCCCCATGCCCAACATCTCTTCAAGTGCCCGTTGGAAACATGCCCCGCCCACTTTTCTGCGAGCGCTTGTGCGAATGATTATCATCACAGGAATCTGCATGATCAAAAATCAACATCGTCTCTTTTATTTTACCGCTCATTTAACCTATTTTATTTCATATAAGTTTACATCTGTCTTACCATATACATAAATATTGAAATCTACTAACACTACAAAATGTTGCCAAATGACGTGCTGTCGTCAAAAATTGCTCAAATTGATTTCTGGTATAATGCCCGTTAATTTAAAAAGAAAAAATACGGAAACTGTTTTATTGAAAATCCACAGGGGCTTAACTTTAATTTTGTTCAGAATATGCATATTCCTAAAGAGGATTATCATAGCGAGGCTCCACGTACAACACGTATTCTCTTTAGTGTCGTTACTGTGTAGATTGCAAATCTATGACATAAGAATCAATCCAAATAGCCGTAGCTATGAACTAATGCAACTTGACTCTCACACCAACCATTGTAATGCAAAGGCCATATACTGTAATGATATAAGATTCTTAAAGGGGTTATGCGATGAATTTTTCTGAGGAACACATTTTGTGCAACTATTTACTCCTCATAAATGTATGAAAACTACTTGACATTCCTTTTTGGTAAATTTTATTGAAAAGTGCACTTCTTTTAACATTTAATTTTCCATGCTATTTCCGGACAACTGAGGGCGTTGTTGCTGTGATGTCATTTCAGGAAGACACTGTTCAGTTTTTGGGCTTTTCTGTTCAAATTTTGAACCCCAAAATTGCTCATTGAAAACATTTGTGAGAAAGGTTTGCTCATTGGCTTACTGCCATGTACTGACACAACAACGAGCCACAAACGAAAAGAAAATGCATGACAACGAAATATCCAAAATTCTAGTAACTTTTTGTGCTGAAATAGCTGTAACATTGAGGTTTCTTGGCCGAAATGACATCACAGTTTTGCTCATGAATATGGAAATTCACATTAGCAGAAAAACCAAAAAGACACCAAAATGCCCTTAAAAATGGCAAAATGAAAATTGAAATTAAGATTAAATGGGACACAAAGGTGCATTAACAAGGACTGCATTAAAACATGACATTACATGGGCCCTTTAACAAATGACTATTATTTGAGCGAGAAAAACTTCAAGATACAGCTAGTGACGTCACAACCTTCATCTGTCGTTTCGATTGCTTTATTTAATTACACTACATTAAAGAATGTCATTTACGGCAGTGTCATGCTGGTTGAATGAGCCACGATTCACATTGTGCTCGGCAATCTTTACTATTGTATACGGTTCTTTCAACAAACCTTCACATTACTCGTAAAATAACGGATATATACACCTCTGCAAATAAAAAATAGATTATTTACATCATCATTCTGAGGCTTTTTTTTTTACACAAGCGAAACAATTTTTATAAAGAGAATAAGGCGAGTATTTTATCTATTACTTTTTTTCATTAGCAAAAAAGTTTAAAGTCTTTTATTTTATTTAAAATCTTATTTATTTACTACTGTGTTTCTGTTCATGTTATTGAACAATTTATCATTCAAATTACTTAAAATTATAATGCCTCTTCTGATTAAAAATAAACAATCATACCGTTTTATAGAGTGGCTGTTTGAGATATAACCCCACCCCCTAAAAAAAGTAACTTTTCCCCAGCCCCTACAACAACAACAACAACAACAATAACAACAACAAAAAGAACTACAGTTAACAAGTAAAACAACTGTTTTTCAAACAAGTAAAATAATAAACACATTTGTAAAGACGACACGAAAAGCGAACTTTTTCAAAATATATTAAAAAAAAAATAACACCTGACAATATGTTACTTAAACAAAATTGCTCATGCTACCCTTTAACAATTGAACCAAACCTATTAATAATCATCTTGTCATCATAACAACTCATTGAATACATATAACAGGCATTGAAGGAAAGTAAGATTGTGGGCGCGGTTTGAGGGCAAAGGCGGAGCCTTGTATTAAACCGTTTTGCCGCTAACATTCTTGGAACATTCTCTATTTTGCATAAACCCTCTTTATTTTGCTATGCTGACCCCGCCCAGATTGGACATGAATAATTCATAAACAGATTAACAAGCAGCCATACCCAGTGGTGGATCCGCTAACTGTATGGAGCGTTATCTATTTTGCATAATCACTGTACATTTTGCTACGCTGGCCCCGCCCAAATTGGACATGAATAATTCATAAACAGATTAACAAGTAGCCTACGCAGTGATGGATTAAGGATTGTCTAAAGGGGTGTGGCTGGGGGGTGATGAAGTCAAAGGTTCGTAAGGGAGTGATGAGGCGTTTCGTTTAACTCATAAATAGACCAAGGGACTGAAGCAGTGAAACAAGATTGTCAGTATTGATGATGATTTTTTTAAAAACTACGTTAATAATTAACATTGGTCAGTTTGGGTGGGGTTTGCGCCGGTTAGCCACTCAACTATCACATTTGACCCGTCCTTGCTCCCTTCAAACCACGCCCATAATGTGTGTTACATTATACTGGCTTTTTGATAGAATGTACAGGGGGAAAAATGACATACAGAAGGAACCCACTGTTGCGTTTTGTCCCAATTTCTGTTAAATGTTCACCCGCTTATATATTGATTTAACAGACTGAATTTTAAATAATTTACGACGTATAATATAAGAATACGTTCAATTCATCGCGGGAAAACTTTCAATTTGATGAAAACATTCAAAAATCACCCTCAAAAATTCCATAAAAAGTGCCCGCGATGAAATAACACATAAATTTACAGAATGACAGATAAATTAATGTTAAATAATACCAACAATGCCCTGTTAAAAGTTCAACAAGAAAAAAAGACACGACATTACAGCAGACCCTGTACTGACACAGTTCGAAAGAAAATACAAGTATTGTATAAAGTGAAGTAATTAAAATCATGAATACATCTTTTGAAAGCAAAGGCCTTTTGGAGGTATTCATTCCGCCAAAACTACTCCACGTCCTAAGAATTCAATCCATCGGATTTTCTTCTTTTCTTCAAACCATATGACATGTACAATTACGACGGCTGCTGAAACAACTCGAAAATTCGACTTCACTTTGACCTGACCTGCTTGCTTAAAAGTTAAAACCTCGACCAAAACTCGTTCTTTTTCGGACTCGGACTTGACAGAAGTAACCAGCGACCAACCCAAAGACATCGACTGAAGTCCATTTAAAAATGTGAAGATTATGATTTAATTTGGCCTACATAAACACAAACTTGTGGTTTGTTTGACAATTTTATTTTAGAAGATATGAGTTAACGCCGCAGTTGGGTAAGTATCAATCCCAGCATGCAAATTGGCTGAAATGGTTACAGTTTAACACCTAGTCTGGTTTCCAAACTAAAAGATTCTGACTATTCTGGATAATCATAGGTCAGGTAGCCGCCACGGCTAAAAGGAAACATGACCCCCCAAAAGAAGGCAGGGTCCTACCCGTTTCCGATAATGTCCGAAATTTGCCGAATACATTTCGTTGACGCTCGGATCTAATTCGCTGGGGTATTTCCCTGCGTAAAATGTTATTTACCAACAAAATACCGGTCATGCTCGTCGTTGGGATACTAGACCGAAAAATTAGGGCTGCTAGTTCATTGAAAGCACCGTCATGGTCGTGTCCTGTCGGTCTACTTTAGACGGGTGCCGCTCCTTCCGCGTGGCCCCCTTGCACCTCCGGAAGAAACAATAGCAACAGCAGCAACAGCAGATGTTGATGAGGACGAAGACGCCCCCGATCACGCTGAAGACGATGACCCAGAAGTTGGTGAAGAAGGCGGTGGTGGCGCTGGCGCAGCAGGTCGGCTCGGAGCAGCAGGCCTCGGTGCACGTGTTGTTCTTGATCAGGCACTCGTCGGGGTTCTCCACCTGGCAGCAGTCCCCGGGACACGACGCTGTGTCCTCGCCCGCGTCGCATCGACCGTCCCCGCAAAACCCGTCAAATAAATTGGCTGATCTGGAATCCAGAGAGAAATAAATATTATTCCATATTGTGTATTAATTTTTCTTTTTCGATTGCTTTTGTAATGGACTTTTGATTGAGGGACACTCTTCCAATTACATTACATTAACATAAAATGCATGTTTGAATAGGAGGTTTGCAGTAACACCATGTGAATGATGTTTCGTTTATAATTTATAACAGGTTCTTATATGGCGCTTTTATCTAAGATCAAAGCGCTTGACATTATTATTACCCCTGATCATCGGGCCAATTAAACATTCCATATACCATCTCAGCTCCCTGGGGAGTATGCAGCTTGATGCAGCCTGTTAGGCGAAAGGACTCTATTCAATCACAATAATCATCTCTGCCCTCACAGGTACCCATTTACTCCTTGGCGGAGAAAAGTAATGAGTGACAAAGTGCCTTGCCCAAGGGCACACGCACCATGACCCCAGGCTGGACTCGAACCCACAACCTGCAGCAATACCCGCAGACCACGAATCCAATGCCCTTAACCATGAGGCCACAGCACTCCACTTGTTTTGAGTTGTGTGGTTCTGAAAAACTTGACGTTTCCAACAGTATGCTCTGTTCGTCATCCGGGAGACTGCATTTTTGTTCCCCTTGGTACGGTCCGAATGCTACGCCTAAACTAACTCATCATCCCAACTATATAGAACGTCCCTATTGTAGTTGGCACTCCCTCAACTGTGCGGGTGTGACTGACTCCAATCTATAATAAACACTTTGACAATAAACTAACAATGAACTACATGTATATACAAAACAGTAAGTGACCGTTTAGATTTATATAATTAACCAAGATTTAGAAAGACGTGTTTTGAAGACCTTTTTTGAGATGTTGGACGGTCGCCCTAATGCCGAAATCAATGATTTTAAACGATGGTTGGAGTTCGCGTCTGTCCCATTTTACTTTATTATTATTATGTGATCTGCATTTTTGTTTTGTATTTTTCATCTTTTAAAATTGCCAACTAACTTTACTTCCGCATATGCGTGTTTTTTCTTCTTCTCCCAAACCTATTTCTGGGGCATGTTTATCATCGCCTATATGAATATTCCTTATTTGTATTTTTAGTTATACAATGACAAGTTTTTATTTTAAATATTTATCGTAAGTTTTGCAGAATCATGCAACCTGGGCAGTTTACGTATTTCCATCACTGTTTATTTTCAGAGTATCGGAACACGGACCGGAATATTTTCTTCCGTTTGCGGTTTTTGGTTGAGTTTTTCCTTATTTTGCTTCGATAGGAGTCTCACGGTATATATTTCATTCCAAACAAACAAACAAATTTGCAGGGAAAGCTTCAAAACAATCCCCAAATCTCGCTTTGTCATGATCATGTTTATTGTTTTTCGTGTCCTTATTTCTTTGTAAATCCTGGGCCTCAGTTGATTTCACGGAACTGCCGCACAGGAAAATAATGTGTGACAAATTTATGAGTAAAACCAAAAGTCAACTGCAATCGAACGTATATAGATTGTCCCACACAAAAAATAACATTCAAATCGAGCAAGTTTTCAGAAAAGTGGGGGTTGTATTCAAAATCGTGTATAATGTATTGCTGAGTCAAATAATTGGTCTTCCAAACGCTTTTTAGTTTATTTCATTAGGATGTTTTGGCGACTTTTGCTAGTGAAACTGCTGTATTAAAGGTATATAGAATCAATTGCTTTTCATGCATTTTGTTCGTTTCTAATAAAAAATATAACACCAATCAAAATAGACCCCAAAGATAAATGCCCCCACTTCAGAAATTCGGGGGAAATACTCACAACTCTCCAAGGTGTTCGAGACACACATCAAATTAAGGTTTAATACATCATCTTTCATTTTCTTTCCATTTTTTTGGGGGGGGTAATCTGATGACTTGTATGAGAAATTTCCATCCGAAGATGATCACCCCTTAAAATAGTCCTCAGCCCATCGCCATTTTGAAAAACGAGGCCTACACTCCATTGGAAAATAGAGCGCTTGAGGGCCCCAATTTTATCCAAATTTCACTGAAAAACAAGCTCACGGTCCTGTGCACGGCTTCCACCCATATTTTTGTACAAAACACTCAAGTTCATGGCCCACAATATGCTCAATTAATATTAAAGAATTTGAGGGCATGCAAATCGTGATTTGGCCGGCGTAGGCAATTTCGGACAGATTTACTGGCCTGCAACCATAGGACTGTGTTGTGACAGACACGATACACTCTTTACCCCGGGCCCTTGTCAGCAATTTCCGGGTGCAGGCTAAGTCTTCTTCCTGATAACAATCGCATCCTGAAGTCTGTTTTCATAACATCTAAACCTAACACCTATTATTCTACCTGTCATGCAAATATATTTGCTGACTGGAAAATGGTCCAATCTGTTTTCTTTTAAAGAGCACTTTAAGTCCTGAATTCGCCGTTTGGGCTCTAATTTCTGATAACAGTTGAAATTTGATGTCAAGTTTTAATATAAACATTCACATGGCCGTATACACCTTGAGAATGTGCGTTTTTATGCAATTATCGCGTGAAAGAATTCGGGGCACAAAACTTTGGTCCCTCCAAAATCGAGTCGGTTAAACGGTAGTCGTCATTCCAGTCACACTTTTTGTTTCAAAAACGTAACTTTGCAAAGATCGCTTGGCTTGTAACGGTCCTGGAGCCCATCGCCATTTTGAAAAACGGTGCCTACACTCCATTGCTAATTAAAGCGCTTTAAGGGCCCCAATTTCATCCAAAATGCACAGAAATACAAGCTCACAGTCCTGTGCACGGCTTCCACCAATATTTTTGTTATACAAACCCTCAAGTTAAATGGTCAACAATGTGCTTAAATACCTAAGAATTTGAGGGCATGCAAATCGTGATTTGGCCGGCGTAGGCAGTTTTGGACCGATTTAATGGCCTGCAACCTTTAACTTACCCCGGTTCGCCTGCTTCCTTCGCACACGCCCCCGCGAAGCACGTCGGCCATACCCAGCAGTCTTCCGCGGCCAGCCAACCCCATCGTGCGTTACAGCTGAGGGTCAAAAGAACACACAGACTTCACGTCAATTATGTAACACATTAACACATAACCCCCAAAAATGACAACCCTAAATCATTTGCCTTAAAAAAAAAAGGATTGGTAAATTTTTATGATTTGGTATCAAATTAAAGCTGAGAGCTTTTTCTATCAAAAACTAAAAAAAATCATGAAAATAGCAGTTTGGATTGCTGAGAAAATGGCAATTATGTAAAACTGAGGGGTTTTCACTGTACCTAATTGTGCATGTCCTAATCCTTACAAACAACACGGCTCATGATATGACAAGAGTACAAATGCATTTGATGGAAATACCTTTTATTTTGCCCGCTGAACAGGTATCATATCCTAGTTAGCCCTTGTTTAAAAAGCTTTCAGCACGATAAATATGTCAAAATACTAAAGAGATTGCACAAAAATGAAGGATTATTGCACAGTAGGCTTACAGTAAAATGTTTCACTGTTTGAAGTACTTGTGTATACAGGATGAACAATGACTCAGTACTTTTACATAATTGGCATTTTCTCAGCAACCCAAAGTGCAATTTGCAAGAAAAAAGCTCTCAGCTTTAATCTGATACCCAAAACATAAAAATTCACCAATCCTTTTTTTTTAAAGGCACATGTTTGAGGGTTGCATTTTTGGGGGTTACACTGTACACTATTTTCACATTTGCGTCGTTCGTTATTTCAGACACTTAACGAATTTTAAAGATGCTCCTCGCACAATGCGAAAGCCGTAGTCGTATCTAACAAAATGTTTTCCCCTTGAAAATGTTAGATTTAGAATTTCAGATGCATTAATTAATATATGTTATGCATTTTCAGAAGATAGAAGGTGAATCATGACCAATCATGTTGCACTTGCCACCTCGCCCTTGGAGATTTGTTTATCTTCAAAAGAGTTAGGCCTGACTGCGAATCCAGGCGCGTCATCACAGCACAATCACAAGGCCCCCTTCAATGGAGAAACCATTGTACACACTATTGTCCAAAGCGACTTCTCCGTGATGGATTATCTGAACAATGGCTAGCGCAATGCTTTCGCCATTAAACGGGGCCTTCGTGATAGAATTGACAGCGTGCCCGATTGGTCTGTTTAGTTTTCAGAGTTGAACACGGAACCGCTGGAACCTTTCAGCAGACATTGGATCGAATTTCCATGGAATAAAAGCTGTTTTCTTGTATTGTTTTGTGGTGTGTCCTTGTATAGTGTTGTTTATGACAAGTATATCTTTTATTCCCATTGATAAGAAAAGCAGCATTTTACTATCAGATTTGCCCAGCCTGGCATTGGTCGGAAGGTGAACTCGTGTTGGACGTGCCGAGCGGAAAACCTCTGGCCAACGGCCCGGATGCTACCCAAGGCCGTATAAGGAGCTGTGTGGATATGTGTGGGGGGCTAACTCGATGAACTTGAACACGACGTATCCAAATTATACCCAGTAGCCAAAAAGGATTTCAGAATGACTAAGGCATCCTGTATGGGCCCCTATTCATTTAAAAACTATGCTGATGTGTTTCTGAACGCTATGACAACCGTTCACTCTTTTTTTTTTAGATAACTGTAAGGTTCAAAGTAAGTTACCTTTGATATAATCAGCAACATTTCCTGCCCGAGGGAGCTCAATGATATAGGCGGCCACAGTACTATAAAGAACGGAACAGCCTTGGCGTTTAAATAGATAACCAATGTTACTTTGATATCAGTAAGACTCAGGCCCGGCTAGGTGATTTTGTGTTTATGCCATCTGCACTGTGCAAATGTGGGTAAAAACACTGTTAGGCAATGCTATTCGCCCAACATGACTATTTGGAATTGCATGTACCTCAATTATTGTTTGTTCATTCGAGCAAAAAATTGACCAACATTTGGGAAGAGTTTTTGCCCAAGATTAAGAGTGTGTGCAGAGTTGGTATGTTGAGAAACCTTATGCGTAATGCCAATCCAATTGCCCAATTTGTTGTAAGTTTTTGGGATCATGCCAACCCTTTTACGGGGACATTCTACAGGGCGAGTGCAAAACTACGAAACTCAAATGTCGGGACCAATTTTTAAAGTGAAGTACTGCACGTAGCACTTTCAAAATCTAGGCTATGAACGCCCAATTCATAAGCTTTCATTCCAATCAATCATGTACTTTTTAAGTTACGGAATTTTAAACACAAACACCGTTTTGAAGCTCTGTCCACGGATCACTAAAAAAGTTCAGTGTTCTTTCAGCAAAACGAAAATAATTCACATAAGTGTGAACTGTTTTCCTTTTACTGAAAGAACACACTTTTTTGTATCCGTGGACAGAAGTTTAAAACGGTGTTTGTTTTTAAAATTCCATAACTTGAAAAGTGCATAAGTGATTCTAATGATTCTTGTACTGAAAGAAAGCTTATGAATTGGGCTTTCATATCCTAGATTTTGAAAGTGCTACATGCAGAACTTCACTAAAAAAATGGTCCCGACCCTTGGGTATCGTTCTGTTTGACTCACCCTGTATTCTACCAAAGGGGGTAAAATCTGCTCCTAATAATAAATTGCCATCAATGTCCGGTCACAGACACATCTCATCGAAGGAGGTTTAATTTCTCCTCCTATGGGTATATTCTCTCCCACCCGTATTTCAAATTATATAAGAACGAGCAGTATTGACGAAATTGTCGATGTTTGTCCGTCTAGTTTTTGTGATTATCCCTCAAAAACAAACCCCTAACGGGTGTGGTCTGTTATTTTGTCAGTCTAGTCCCCATTTCTATAACCGTACTTCAATTCATGGTTACTTCATGGATGTACCGACTATCACACCCTCATGTGGCTAGATTGTGGGTTGATGGTCGGTCTGGTTCCCCCAGCGTCATACCATTTCTGTGTACAATCCCGACCTAGGGCGCCGACCATTACACTCTCTTCCGGATTGAGTTTAGGCTGATGATGAAACACTTCCCGTTGCCAAGACCCTTTTACTTTGGGTCTGAACACAACATTATGTTCCCAAGGACACACTTTTTTCCCCAGTTAATAATCCAAACTATTAACAACCAATTATATTGAACAGCAAGAAAAATTGCCAGCACGACTCGTGCAATTTGAAATTCTGTTATGTCACTTGTCAAATGAATGGAAATTCGCTAAATTTGAGTGAAATTTCACTCTATCCACTTATATTTTTTATTCTAATTACAACTGAAGTGACTCTTTTTCCTGAGTTTTCAGTCTTAAATTATGTTATTTTGTTTTTACTCTAAAAGGTCTCTCTTTGGAAATTAGAGTGAAGGTAAAACAATAGTTATGTTAGGCTTTATTATGAACGTAACTTTTATGTTCATAATAAAGCTATATACATGTACTTAAATATGTGAGGTTCATCAAATTAGGCCTTGCCCTTCACCTATAAACACTGTACACTCGGTGTGTTACCTCGTCGTGTGCTAAAGTTTTCGAGTTTGACTGTTCAGATTCAAAATGCTGTTATTTTAACCAGAATTAATTGCCTTGACTGAAATTCGGACTTAATACCCCTTTTCTAAAACTCTACCATTTGCGACAAATCAACATACCTTGGAAATTCCTAGATTTTGAGTAAAATCCATATATCTATTTCGCGAAAACCTTGTGGAGACCTATTCATCTATAGAAATTGCCCTGTTGAGACGTATGCAATCTTTTGTTCCCTATTGTGTGCATGTCTCCAGAGGGCACGGTGTATCAGATCGGGAGAACAAAGAAATGTCTCCACAAGGATACAAATTTCAGTATATACGAGTTTATGCGAGGTTCAATCACACGCTATTGTTCATGAGTTTTCATGCAGATTAACCACCTTGATGACAAATTGTACCGTGACTGTTGTCATCGTTTCCTTTCTTACTGGACCGTCACCTGATAACCTTCATTACCGCCCCCTGGCCCCCGGCCAACCCACCCAACAACAATGGGGGCAAAGTGGGGTCAAACGTTAAAAGGTTATATCGGGTTTGAAGCATGTCAAGTGTTGTGACCCCATGTATATGACCGCGAAGGAACTAATTCATTACGCTAACTTGTTTGTACCATTTGCGAGAGTGACAGATCAGAACCATTTCTTGCGTTCATCTGTACGGTGTCTATGACAGCAAAATTGACAAGACACTGATGCGGGTATTTTCGTCAAACAAATCAGTGGCCACTGAATTTGCCAGTGAATAAAGGTATTCCCAGTTTTCTAGAACTTGAATTTTTTTTCGACATTTGGAGAAAACAAAACTGACCACAATTTTGCCTCAAATGTGTTTTTTAATATATATATTCTAAAACCAAAATATATATATTCTAAAAACAACACTTAGTCAAAATATTGACTGGTTTTCCTAGTTATTGAAAATTGACTAGGAATTTGGTAAAACATGAAAAGTTTCATACTATGACTAAAAAAAGTATTTGGATTTGACTTCAACTTTAGTTATTTGCATAGGTATTTTCCAATACTGACTGGAAAAATCTAGTCAGATCGACTGATTTTCAGTTGCACCCAGCTGACCCTGAATAGCTACAGTCAAATTTGACTGGTTTCTAGTCATATCTGACTAAAGTTTTGGAGTGTATATATTTAGTTGGATTGTTACTGCTGTACAAAGGAAAACAAATTTCAAGAGTGTCACATGATGAATAAATAATTGAATTGGTTTTGTAAACACAAACATGTTTAGCACTTACATTCCTCGAGCAGCGGCTTGGCCGGCTTCGTTGTTGCATTGAAACCTGGTTTCGTTCTCTTTACTGTAGACAATATGGTTGGGGTTGCAGTCCCAATTGTCGACCATTTCCTTTGGATGGAGCAAAAAAAGACAGTGGATGCTTTTTATACTTTGCAATGCATATACGGGTAGGAATTTCCGACTTTTGTAAACTGATACGAACGTTCAAGTTCAGATTTCATGCACGTGGTGAAGTTCGGTAATGAACAGTCAAATGTTTTCTGCGCACAGCTTATTTTAGTAGTCCGTCAGAAGAAATTACTCTTTTTGAAATAAAGTATTAAAAAAGCTAAATCTCGATAAGTTAAACTCTAATAACTCACAACAACTTGCTGATGAAGACCGGAGTTTCGGTCGAAAATTACAGGTACGAAATATTCTAGTGTTGTGATCAAAAGTTTACCTCTAAATAATAACTCACAACAACTGTTAAGTCCCCCCCCCAAAAAAAGAATCCGTTCCCTTTAGTAGTATAACAATGACATAGGGCCTACAACCCTGCTTAACTCAAAACTCTGCATAAGTCAAAATTTTGAACCTGTTCCCTTGAAGTTTGACTTATCGAGATTTCACTGTATATTGGCAACTTTGTTAATCGAGATTTCACTGTATATTGGCAACTTTGTTAATCGAGATTTCACTGTATATTGGCAAGATTGTTAATTCGTTTTACTTGATGGAAATCTTCGAAAATAACCCATAGTTATGCACTGTGTATAAAAACAATGAAATATATAAACAAGAGGTAAATAAAATATAAATAAATAAAACAACCGATTTTCAACGTTAAATTTTAAGAGTGAATTCTTCACGATGTATCTGAGAATTAATTAATCAATCAATCAATCAATCAAAGTTCAAGCTACGCTGTTAATTAATCAGCTACCTGTTGTGGATATCAACAATGAAATGAAAACTTAAAAAACAATGAAACCAGCTCACTGGATCGCTTATTTTTCAAGAGATCTTAACAAATTCAATTACTTAGGCCTACCTCGGCCGTCACTGGGTTGTCGACTTTCCATTCTCCGCAGCAGGTGTAGAAATAGTTGGTGTATCTACCGAGGGTGAGCCGATAGTTCGTGCATTCGGCCAGGTTCTGTTGGACCACGGGTTCTTTGCCCGAGACATGGGGCTCCTGGGCATTTTGCCCCGGTGCGTCTTGGCTCTGAACTCCGCTCAGCAGCAGCAAAGTTACACTGAGTACGCAAAACATTTTCGATCAAATTGTACGTCTGGATTTTCCTTTTCAGTAGGCAAATTAGTGAAAACTATCCAAGTTTGCTTTATTTCTCACGTTTCTGTGTATTATTCGAAGTGTAGAAGGTTGTCTGTGGACAAAATGAATCACGAGATGTCTATGAGTAATAGCTCAAACTGTGAAGGGGCGACTGCCACATTGTATTATATACAACCCTAGCGGGCAAATAAGTTGTGCAGCAACCCACTTCCTATTTGGAGTGTTCGGGACGGAGTGCTGTGATTGGATAACGCCGACACCTTTGCGCGGGAAAGGGAAGCTAGATTATCCTTTTAGGGATGTTTGTCTTGGGAATGGGAAAGTTATGGGAACGCCACTGTTGGTTTTGATTGGAATGTCATCTCATGGTGATTAAGTAAATTGTTGAATTATTGTGCTTGTCATTCCTTCACCTACAGACTACATTTAATTGCTTCATGTCCGTATTTTAAGTTGTTTCATAAAAAACCCACTAATTTTGCAAGTTTGGCTGTATTTGGCCAGTCTTTTCTGAAACGAAAAGTACAGCAGTTTTCAGCTATTGTTATCACATTGTTATCTTTAGTTTTTGTTCATGGCAAAGTTTCAAAAACTTAAAATGTTTTGTTTTTGCTTTGATGCTAGGTCAAATAAGAAATGGACGATTGTCTTTGTGCGGCACGCTTTAGCACAATGATTTCTCTTTTTACATATTTTTTTCAGGTTGTTTTTCATTTTGCTAATAAAAGAAACGGTCAAGATTACATGACGAAACTTTGGTATAGCCTATCTGAAGCCGTTTTTCCCCTAGAGGATAATTTGCCTCGCATTCTTCCAAGTCATTGCACAATTATTTACAACTCCTGATCAAGCTACTGAATAATATGAATATTCACTTCTTTTAACCACGCCCATTTCCATTGTTGCGGATATGACATTGCGCATCGCTTGGAGATGCATCCGTGTTGAGTAAACAGTCTTCTTCGCCCATATTCGCCGAACTCTATGATATTAAAAACACGTGGGATTCTAGACAGTTCTATTTCGCGTTTCGATGAGCGTTTCAAGTTTGGGTATTTCAAGTTCATGTTTAATAGTCAATCAATGATTACAACGGCTATAGTGGGTCAACTGCAATGACCCTACAATTAATTTAGCAAAATATAAAAACCAAACACCAAACAATTTTGTTTTTGTTCGAGACATTGTTCCATTTGGCCAGTGTCACAGTCGAGTCTAACAACTAGTAATCACCAGTCTTTTCAGAGGTAAAGTGGCATAAATAACATTGGATTAACAATGAAAAATGTGTTTTTGTCACAGTTTATTTTCATTTGGACAACGACCGGGTGGCTTATGGAGTGTCATGGCCTAGCGGTATAAGAACACCGGACTCATGCTGGTGTTTCAGAGGCAACAGTGGCGTGGGTTCGAGCCCGCCGGGTGGACACTTGTGCCCTTGAGCAAGGCACTTAACCATTATTGCTTCGTCCTTCGGATGGGACGTAAAGCCGTAGGTCCCGTGTGTTGTGTAATCCAATGCACGTAAAAGAACCCAGTGACACTCGGTGTTTCTGGTCTCCTGTATTTCTAAAACTTGTTAAACGCCATTTCGTTCCCTTTTAGAATCCTGCTCTCTCCTGGCTGCCCAAAAGCAATTTCGACGTGTTTTATATATTTAATCACAATTTAAGAATACAATGAGCGAAAAATGAGGTTTAGAAACATCCTTTATACTGCTTTTATTCTTTACATTTTCAAAATTGTTTAAGAACTTTTTCAAAGAGTATCTTATATCCCAATATGTAGCATAGATTTTTTTCTCCTTTGGTTTGTTCTCCAGTGTTGCCATCTCTCTTGCAGTTTTTACGTTTTTTTCCCCCAGTCATTTTTCTTAATCTATTGCTGGTCAGATTACTTTGTCCTCTTGTTTTATCTTTGTCTTTGACTTAATTAACTAACTATTTGATTATTTTATGTCTTTGTTTTCTCTTCTAAAGGCACCCCGCTACAAGCCTTGGCTTATTAGGATTGTGCCTCCACAATATTGTGTTTTGCTTTCTATTATGTTATTGTTCAGTATGGAAATAAATGTAAAAAAAAAAACTGTGCACTTTTTTTTTAATTAAGTTTTTTTTACATCAAGTCCATGTTGTCGTTTTCATGTTAACTTCTTGGTTCTTGTACCCTTTGATATAGAAATCGGCAAATTCTAACTGAAAAGGTAGCGTGCATGCCCTTTACGACGCATGCAACGAGTAGGGATCTAGACTCCCACCTGAACGTCAAGAGATGAGTTATTGATCAACACTTCCTTTCCCCTTTATGGTCGTCATTTTCCCTTTTCTTAGGCACTTTATATGACCAATTTATCCTCATCTAGTTATTGGCGAGAGTAGGCAAAGGAGCCTATCCCCCATGAGAAAACCTCCATTTCAGGTCAACGGATGCTGTAAAGGTTATCAGTTCCTTCTGGGGTCAGAAAATAGATCTTGACCTTTTGAATGACATTCGGGTGAATATTTCGGGAGAGTGCCATTTCAAACCTTTAAAATCCCAAAGGTTCTGCCATGCGACTTCCTTCGAAGTTGTGCGATGATAATTTATACAAACATTAAATTGAATTTTCGAAAGGAATAAACGTGGTGACATTCAATGTTGGAAGTAAATGAATAATTAATTTACACAAAAATATCAACAACTTTAAAAAAAAAAAAAAAAAAAAAAAAAATTGGGGGGGGGGGTGTAATCATGTAAACCGTAATCAAATATAAAAAAGGTGCACGAATCAAAACTAGCTCCTTCCATAATTCTCTAAAAAAAAATATGCCCAAGATTACTCAGGAGAAATTTCAAAAATATTCTGGGACAGTATGCCCTCGGATTCCCTAGCAAGGGGTGTGCCTTTTCTTACCCTTTCAGCCCAACTTACGACCTAACACCTTTCAGCCTAAACTGACGCTCTAAATTCACCCCCCCCCCCCACTCCGAGCCGGAGCTAGCTCCGCCCCTGCTAGATATAGTGTCAGTAACATGTCGTTGTCAGAATTTTCCCTCTATATACGACCGCCAGCCAGGGTTTTTATTTTTGGTGGTTTATTATTGCTTCCAAAATAAAGCACTCTCTCCATAAAAAGGGCCATATTTTGAGGGGCCCGCATACGAAATCTCTTAATCATGTCAAGCATTTGCAATGTGCGCCCTCTAAAGTGCAGCGAGGCAAGCACCTTTTGACAATAGAGGGCGTCCTAATTCACAACAAGTTGGACACGTAAATGGAATGGGTTCATAAAAACGACGCTTAAATATCGTCTTACTAATCGAAGTGTCCTCCAGTCGTATGTAAAAACATGATTTCCGACCTAATATTGTTTGGGTAAGTTGGTAATGTCGGTGTGTATCTTTAATCTTCTTGATTTTAGAATTGATAATTTTGTCAACACAAGCCCGGCGTTTGTGAATTGTGCCAATGTGTGGGGATCGTGTACAGGTGTAGTTACGGGCCCCTCTTTATTTTCAATCAGATTAGAGAATGTTTTTACCATTACAAAATGACATTTTCAACCTAAAGCACACTTTTCTCAATTTTAATGACACCTTTTTGTAATTTTAAACAGTTTTCTTGTTGTAGAAATTACAATTTTTGTAAGCGGTTTATGGCTATGACGGTTGGTGCCGTGTGATTCAGCGCGCCTTGTGCGTTTATTTATGGTACATCGTGGTGATCGCCATCTTTATTTTCATGTTGCCTTTTGTCAGTGTCATTGTCATTTTACACCCAAATTTCTCTCCAACTTCAAAACCTTGATACTATGACTAGTCCTCTATCTATGACTAAGTCAGAGTAAGGCCCAAAAAAATTAAAACATGTCTAGCGTGTTGCCTTTTTGAAAAAAAAGGAAGGAGGAGGCCCTTCATCTTTTTTTTCTTTTCCAAAATGGCCGCTCGACCCATTTTCCAAAAAGAGCTGGCCGGACTCAGGAAATGATTTTCAGCTTTTAGAGTCTTAAATTAAAGAATGATTTTTTTCCGAAAAAGATATTAAATTTATCATTTTTTCAGGTTTTTTTTTCAATTGCAAAAGAAAAAAGATTACCATCAATCAAATTCCAATCATTTTCATCATACCCTCAATTAAAATCTTCAGATTTCACCCCCAAAACAGTCCTCAAACTGCCTTATGCGCCCCTGTAGGCTTCAGTGGGAATTGAAAATACAAATGGTGGTGGTTAGGTTCACATACCTTCAGAAAGAAAAGAGAAATTTCACCTTCAATTGGGAAGTTACTGAACCTTGTCATGCTGGAGGCTCAGGCCGCCATCTTGAATTCATAAATAAATTTATGAATTTAAAAAAAAAAGCTGTGAAGAAGTGCAGTAGTGTTTAATAGGTTTATTACATGTATCTTATTTATTTTGAAATTTCAGAACGTTGATGGTCAATGCTGGTGCTGTTTTGAACTTCAACTTGTGAGTATTTACACAGAGTTTAACAGTGTTTTAGTCGAGTCACCAACGTCGAGTCCGAGTCTCGAGTCACAAGCCTCGAGTCCGAGTCTCGAGTCACAAGCCTTGAGTCCGAGTCCGAGTCTGGAGTCACAAGCCTCGAGTCCGAGTCTGAGTCTCGAGTCACAAGCCTTGAGTCTGAGTCCGAGTCTCTAGTCACAAGCCTCGAGTCCGAGTCCGAGTCCCGAGTCACAAGCCTCAAGTCCGAGTCTGAGTCTCGAGTCACAAGACTTGAGTCTGAGTCCGAGTCTCGAGTCACAAGCCTCAAGTCCGAGTCCGAGTCCCGAGTCACAAGCCTCAAGTCCGAGTCCGAGTCACGAGACACAAGCCTCGAGTCTGAGCCTGAGTCCGAGTCTCGAGTCACAAGCCTCAAGTCCGAGTCTGAGTCTCGAGTCACAAGCCTTGAGTCTGAGTCCGAGTCCCGAGTCACAAGCCTCGTGTCTGAGTCCGAGTCTCGAGTCACAAGACTTGAGTTGGAGTCCGAGTCATGAGTCACTTGTTCTTAGTTGTTCACCAAGCTAATCACATTTAAAAAAAATTATTTTTCAATCATCCATTCCGTCTTTTAAGTAAATCCCAGTGTACCGGTATACGGTTTACCTTGTGTAATATTAAACATGTATTTTGTGGATAAGGCAGCTTCAGATTGAGTAAAGAAAAGGAAAGATACTTGAGTTTTAAGAGGTGGGAGGAAAACCCTTGAAGAGAATCAAAAGACCCCCAATAGACAGCCGTCTTGTCTAGGCAAATTATAACTGCATATTCAATGCCATCAGGACTTTTGCGCACAGGGTGCAATGTGTTCTAAACATGCGCATGTTGCTTGAAACTCATTCAAAATACGGCGCAGCTGCACCGATGCGCATCATGAAAACTTGATGCCCAGGTTGCCGATGCACTTGATGTCATTTGAGAGGGGTCTATTCCAGGCAAATTCCCCAAAATTTAGCGAGGGACTGAAGAAAAAAATATTTCCTTGGAAAGCAAAGAAAAGAAGCCACTGTTCTGTCCGTGGCTGACCTAAGGTGAGCTGATTGTAACCAAAATTACAAGCCCGTCTTTTTTTTTTTCATGGTCAAGGTTTTGTTGTGAATTGTTTATTTTTTTTTTTCAAATCCAGTAAGAAGAAACAAAATGAGACGCAAGGCTTTGGAGAAAAGGACGCCTCTGAACCAACAACGGGTAAGTCTGGGAGAATACAGGGCGAGTCAAAAAGAAAGTGACTGAAATAAAAAAAAATATTATGTGGCTCACTCCATTTTATAAAAATAACATAGGGATAAAGTACATGATGTTCACTAGTAACTGTGAACATTTCTCGTAATTTGCATACTCTATTCTCAAGTTATGTCTATTTTGATAAAAAGATCACAAAATTCAGCTGTCCACCACTGATCATTTACCGTTCTACCAACTGATGAATACCCATGAAATAAAATGAAACATGGACGTTTTCCCACCTCCATGAATGAACCAAAACTTGCAAAGGAAAACCGGTTCAAACCCCAAAGGAATACAGACACCAATCGCCATCGATATTTCAGGGAAAAAAGAGCCGACTTGTTCCTCATATTCAAAAACCAAAATCTTACTTTGTGTATAGGGTGAGTCAAAAAAAAGCAAAACCCAAATGTCGGCACTATTGTTTTAGGGAAATTCTGCATGTAGCACTTTCAAAATCTAGGATATGAAAGCCCAATTCATAAGCTTTCTTTTAGTACCAGAATCATTGAAATCACTCATGTACATGTATACTTTTCAAGCTACGGAATTTAAACACAACCACCGTTGTAAAGTTCTGTCCACTGATCACAAAAAAAGGTGTGCGTTCTTTCAGCAAAACGAAAACAATTCAGACACACCCCTATATGATTTGCTTCTGTTTTGCTGAAAGAACACTTACCTTCTTGTGATCCATGGACATAACTTTAAAACGGTGGTTGTGTTTAAAATTCCATAACTTGAAAAGTACAAAAGTGAGGGGTGGGGGGTGGGGGTGAGGCTCCATAGTCAATACATGAAAAGACTGAAGGTGTAATAGCAGTGAATGCAGATTTCTAGTATTGAGCGATGACATTTTTCAGGGAAATTAAAACATTTGGAATTGTTTCCATTACGTAAATAATTAACATTGGTCAGTTGGAGGGGGAGGGCTGGTTAGCCACACCCCTGCTGTAGTTGTGCAGGAAGCAATTAATAACCAACATTGCTTGTGTTCTCCCTTTTGTGTCCATATTCAGGAGACCAAATCCGGCAGTTCCTTCAAAACTTGAAATTCTTCCGCATCTTTATCGGTCTGTGGAATATTGCCGTCATCCTCATGATGCTAGTGTAAGTTTTGACTCTTTGACCCTGAAAATTTGAAACAGCTGTGCTCCTTTCCATTTTTGATTATAACCAAAGTTTTTGTGGATCATCGTGATGCTGTAGTGTGAGGATTGGACATTCATATGCGCAGAGCCATGGTACAAATGTCTGATATGACCTAGTTGTACGTGACCCCGCGCGCCAGCCATAGAGAGTCGACTTTGCAAACAGTGAGATCAGAAATGTGGACTAAGCTGTTGATTGGTCAAAGCAACAACAGGGTACCAAAGGCCTGATAATTTTTTGCCGAAAAATGAAATTGCTTGAAACTTGAAGAGAAGACGCCCAAAAAGTCCTAAAACAGATTCCAAGGCGATTTTTGGATAAATATGCCATTCAAAAGAAAACGTTTGGGGGGAATCAGTAAAAAATATGCTTTCTTTCTCCATAAATGGTGATTTTTGCCAAAATCTGCCAAATTTTGGGTTTTTGAATATTGATTTTGGCCGAAAACTGAAATTGCTTGAAACTTGCAGAGAAGATGCCTGAAGGTCCCTAGAGGACATTCGAAGTGGAAATTTGGACAGATTGGGCATTTAAAAGAAAGTTTGCGTCAAAAACGGGGGTATATAAATTTAATAGTGAAAATTATTGTTTTGTCTCAATACCGTAAGTTGGCGTTTTTTGCCCAAATCTTCAATATGTTTAGTGTTTGAAGGTCGATTTATGTTCCTCTTGCATCCAAAGACTTTTCTTAGTTGTTCGGAGAAAAGTCAATTTTTTTGCCAAATTTGACAAAAATGTAAGGCTTGCAATTTTTCCAATTTGGGCCGAAAAATGAAATTGCTTGAAACTTGCAGGGAAGATGCCTGAAGGTCCCTAGAGCACATTCGAACTGGAATTTCGGACAGATTGGGCATTTAAAAAAAAAGATTGTGTTGAAAATTGGGGTAAAAATTAGTGAAAATTATTCATTTTTGTCTCGATAAGTCGCAGATTTTTGCCAAAATCTTTATATGTTCAGTGTTTGAAAGTTGATTGATGTTCCTCTTGCATCCACAGACATTTCTGAGTTGTTCGGAGAAAAGTAGATTTTTGGCCAAATTTGATCAAAAATGTATGGCTAACCCCTTGCAATTTTTTCAACGTTGGCCGAAAAATGAAACTACTGGAAAGTTGAAGGGAAGATGCCCAAAGACTCCTCAATCACATTCCAAGGCGATTTTTGGACAAATATGCCATTCAAAAGAATTTTTTTTTTTTTAAACCCAAAATCTTGCCCAATTTTGTTCAAAATATAAGGTTAACCCCTTTTTTTCCCAAATTTGGTCAAAAAAATGTAATTGCTTGAAACTTGACGGGAAGATGCCCAAAACTCGTAAAACATTCAAATGTATTAAAATATACTTTTCTTTTTCTTTAAATGGTGATTTTTGCCTGTACTTAATATTTTATTGTTTTTATTTGTTGCGTTTGCCTTTTCAGATTATTTGGCTCGTAGCAGTCGTTCTGTCTGGCCGTGTACATATACACACAAGTGGTGACGTCGGGATGGAAAAGGCTAGCTGAGTTTGTTGTGGGGACTGGAAGCATTAATGGCATGTAAATGAGTGCATGTGTAGCATAAGGCTACAAGATAATATCAGGACCCATTAGGCCGTAAATCGAATGACATCACGCTTTGTTTACATTTGCGCTTTTTGCTCGTACCCCCGCCCTGCAAACAGGGCGCTGGTAAGGGCTGATGAACTTCACAGAATCTTGTGAAGGAAGTACAGATTGACCTTCGCATGCAGCTAGCGCGCGCTACGCATGATGGGCACCGGAAGCTAGTTTGTGTGACGCGTTCTACGTCACAGGTCACCCAAATCTATCCAATGAGAGCTCAAATGACATCAGCCCTTACCAGCGTCCTGTTTGCAGGGCGGAGGGTACGAGCGAATTTGCGCTTTTCTATGTGGTAGACTGTACCTAAATCGTCTGGCGTCCCGACTTCACTCCCATAGGAAAGCGCACATGTAAACAAAGCCATTATGTCATTAGGTCTTAGGTCTATTCAGCAGAAGATTTTCCTTTGCAAAATGAATTCATGAACAAATTGAGCAGAAAACTATCAGCACAATGTAAATATATTGTAAATTGGTTGGTTCTATCGCCGACTTCCTAACCAACAAATTGTTCCAAAGCAAAGGGTCTTAAATACTTTGTTGACGGGAGACAATTGTAAAATAAAGCATGCACAACTTAAATGGAATGTACATCATTGGCTTTCGCTGTAATTTTCAGAAATGAACTAGTTGAGGGGTTAGTATAATATATCAAAATAGTCTTACACTGACATGTTTGACGTGTTGTGTCCGGAAAAACCCCAAGAAAAACAAAAATGTTCAAGTAGTCTGGTTCACTGACTCCACAATAGATGAAATGGATCAATTTATAGATGCCAGAAATTGTAAGGTAAAGGAACCTGTCTAGCTGGCCTGCACCCGTTCATGAACATGTAACCAATAGCAAACACAATTTGGACTGAAACAAATGGTAAATTTGGAGCAGTGGTTGAAAAATAGTTTTTCCAACGGTGGTCAGCCGACCACTGTTGGAAATGTATACAAAAATACAATTTTCCTTAGATGACTTCACACCAGGTTCCATGATTTTACAGGATGCTTTAGACTGTCATTTACCAACATACTAGTAAGGTTTTTCGTAAAAACTTGGTAGTGTTATCTTGATGTTTGCAAATGTTGTATTTTCCCTTTAATGTACATGTTTACATAGTAGCAGAGTATGTTGACATCATTTGCATTAACCTTGTAATGCCTTTTCATTTTCTGTGTACGGTATGAAATTTGTGAGAGTTTTAAATGAAAACGCTGTTTCACACGTTTGTTTTAGAACATGTTAATTTTCTCCTCTGAATATTGTGACAAAATGATGTTACCGGTACTGATAATGTAACAACCAACGTTTCACCAACTGACGTTACCACAAATGACAGAATAATGTATCACTAACTGATACTAGAACAAAAAATGTCTGTTAGGCCCCCCCCCCAAAAAAGTCGGTCTCTGGTCAGCGCGCGCGTCGATTTTAATCATGCGCGTCAATCTTTTTTTTCCCCAAAATGTTCCGCGGTAGCTCCAACAGCGCCCTCTATTGCCGCACCTCCTCAATTTTTTTTACCAAAGAGCACCAAGGAATGGGAAATTGCACCAAGGCAAATGATCGAAAGCATCAAGGCAAATTATGGAGGACACCAATGTACATGAGGACACCAAAAAAGCAAAATAGTACCCCACCTTGTCTGTACAATCCAAGCTTGAAAAAAAAAAAAAGCCGCGTCGCCGCGTCAATTCCGGAACTTTGGTCTGACCAGAGACCGAATATTTTTTTTTTGGCCTTAGTGTAGTAAATGTTACTACACTATCAGTCAAAGTTTTTTCCACATTATCAGTTAGGACCGATAATGTAACAGCAATGTACTACACTATCAATCATTTGTTTGCTACATTATCAGTTGAAACAACCCCCCCCCAGAAAAAACCCCCAAAATTCCTGAATGTTGCATATTGCATGTAATGAGATTGAAGCCGTCGGTCTGAATTCATATTAAAATAAAGATACTGCTGTACAGAAATTTCGTTTTCGCATAACAATTTATTTCGACCGCTCTCAATTTCTCGTCTACAGAACAACTTTACAAAAATAATCCCCCAAAATTATGAAAATTACTTTGCCTTTTATACATTTTATCCACTGCATGTGTTATAATATTGTCTTATCAGATTGTGATAATTACAAATTGTTATTTCTTTGGTTAAAGGCAGGTTAGAGTACAGATTTTGTTTTTGTCTGTATATAAACATTCAGACCACGTAACAGATCAATGTATATTTTGTCGTTGGAAAAATTAATGAGACTAAGATAAAAGTAAATAAATTATATGTGATGTTATAATCAAAATTGAAGTTGTAATTTCTTTAATAAGTTTTGTCTCTTCTATATTGGGTTATTGCCCTTCACTTTTGGAGCAATTTCACATCTAAATATTTTTACACGGTAACAATTCTTTACATATATTTTACAATTATTGTAAATAATCGTGAAGTTGTGCTATACATTTCATACACCGAAAACAAAAATAAAACACTCTGTTTTCAATTAAATTATCGAGATAACCTTTAAAATAAACCACACAGTCAAAATTCGGTTTGATTTACATGTATTTCCTCCCTCCAAAATGGAGGATATTTGCCTAGATCTGCCAAAATGTGAGTGTTTGAATATTGATTCATGCTCCACTCGTCTCCAGAGGTATTTCTGCGTTGTTTTGAGAAAAATCAATTTTTGGCCAAATTTGGCTCAAAATGTAAGGCTAACACCTTGGTTTTTTTTCAATTTTGGCCAAAAAATGAAATTCCTTGAAACTTGCAGGAAAGATGCCTAAGGTAACCCTGAACACATTCCAATCAGATTTGGGAACAAACGTGCCTTTGAAAAGATAATTTGGCAGAAAATTTAGGGTAAAAACAGTCAAAATTCGGTTTTATTTACATGTATTTCCTCCCTCCAAAATTCGATGACATTTGCCTAGATCTGCCAAAATGTGGGTGTTTGAATATTGATTCATGATCCACTCGACTCCAGAGGTATTTCTGCGTTGTTTTGAGAAAAGTCAATTTTTGGCCAAATTTGGCTCAAAATGTAAGGCTAACCCCTTGTTTTTTTTTCAATTTTGGTCAAAAAATGAAACCCCTTGAAACTTGCAAGAAAGATACCTAAGGTAACCCTGAACACATTCCAATCCGATTTGGGAACACACGTGCCTTTGAAAAGATAATTTGGCCGAAAATTTAGGGTAAAAACAGTCAAAATTCGGTTTGATTTACATGTATTTCCTCCCTCCAAAATGAATGATATTTGCCTAGATCTGCCAAAATGTGGGTATTTGAATATTGATTCATGCTCCACTCGTCTCCAGAGGTATTTCTGCGTTGTTTTGAGAAAAGTCAATTTTTGGCCAAATTTGGCTCAAAATGTCAGGCTAACCCCTTGGTTTTTTTTCAATTTTGGCCAAAAAATGAAATTCCTTGAAACTTGCAGGAAAGATGCCTAAGGTAACCCTGAACACATTCCAATCCGATTTGGGAACAAACGTGCCTTTGAAAAGATAATTTGGCCGAAAATTTAGGGTAAAAACAGTCAAAATTCGGTTTTATTTACATGTATTTCCTCCCTCCAAAATTCGATGACATTTGCCTAGATCTGCCAAAATGTGGGTGTTTGAATATTGATTCATGCTCCACTCGTCTCCAGAGGTACTTCTGCGTTGTTTTGAGAAAAGTCAATTTTTGTCCAAATTTGGCTCAAAATGTAAGGCTAACCCCTTGTTTTTTTTTCAATTTTGGCCAAAAAATGAAACTCCTTGAAACTTGCAAGAAAGATACCTAAGGTAACCGTGAACACATTCCAATCCGATTTGGGAACACACGTGCCTTTGAAAAGATAATTTGGCCGAAAATTTAGGGTAAAAACAGTCAAAATTCGGTTTGATTTACATGTATTTACTCCCTCCAAAATGAATGATATTTGCCTAGATCTGCCAAAATGTGGGTATTTGAATATTGATTCATGCTCCACTCGTCTCCAGAGGTATTTCTGCGTTGTTTTGAGAAAAGTCAATTTTTGGCCAAATTTGGCTCAAAATGTCAGGCTAACCCCTTGTTTTTTTTTCAATTTTGGCCAAAAAATGAAATTCCTTGAAACTTGCAGGAAAGATGCCTAAGGTAACCCTGAACACATTCCAATCCGATTTGGGAACAAACGTGCCTTTGAAAAGATAATTTGGCCGAAAATTTAGGGTAAAAACAGTCAAAATTCGGTTTTATTTACATGTATTTCCTCCCTCCAAAATGAATGATATTTGCCTAGATCTGCCAAAATGTGGGTGTTTGAATATTGATTCATGCTCCACTCGTCTCCAAAGGTATTTCTGCGTTGTTTTGAGAAAAGTCAATTTTTGGCAAAATTGGGCTCAAAATGTCAGGCTAACCCCTTGTTTTTTTTCAATTTTGGCCAAAAAATGAAATTCCTTGAAACTTGCAGGAAAGGTGCCTAAGGTAACCCTGAACACATTCCAATCCGATTTGGGAACAAACGTGCCTTTGAAAAGATAATTTGGTCGAAAATTTAGGGTAAAAACAGTCAAAATTCGGTTTATTTACATGTATTTCCTCCCTCCAAAATTCGATGATATTTGCCTAGATCTGCCAAAATGTGGGTGTTTGAATATTGATTCATGCTCCACTCGACTCCAGAGGTATTTCTGCGTTGTTTTGAGAAAAGTCAATTTTTGTCCAAATTTGGCTCAAAATGTAAGGCTAACCCCTTGTTTTTTTTTCAATTTTGGCCAAAAAATGAAATTCCTTGAAACTTGCAGAAAAGATGCCTAAGTCGACCCTGAACACATTCCAATCCGATTTGGGAACAAACGTGCCTTTGAAAAGAAAATTTGGCCGAAATTTAGGGTAAAAACAGTCCAAATTTGGTTTTATTTACATGTATTTCCTTAATCCAAAATGGATGATATTTGCCTAGATCTGCCAAAATGTGAGTGTTTGAATATTGATTCATGCTCCACTCGTCTCCAAAGGTATTTCTGCGTTGTTTTGAGAAAAGTCAATTTTTGGCAAAATTTGGCTCAAAATGTAAGGCTAACCCCTTGGTTTTTTTTCAATTTTGGCCAAAAAATGAAATTCCTTGAAACTTGCAGAAAAGATGCCTAAGGTAACCCTGAACACATTCCAATCCGATTTGGGAACAAACGTGCCTTTGAAAAGATAATTTGGCCGAAAATTTAGGGTAAAAACAATCAAAATTCGGTTTATTTACATGTATTTCCTCCCTTCAAAATGGATGGTATTTGCCTAGATCTGCCAAAATGTGGGTGTTTGAATATTGATTCATGCTCCACTCGTCTCCAGAGGTATTTCTGCGTTGTTTTGAGAAAAGTCAATTTTTGGCCAAATTTGGTTCAAAATGTAAACCCCTTGTTTTTTATTTCAATTTTGGCCAAAAAATGAAATTCCTTGAAACTTGCAGGAAAGATGCCTGAGGT